GAACGTGGATGAAGTACAGGTACTTGTGAACGTTAGTATCAGATACCTCGTTTTTTCAGACCAAAGACAGCGATGGAGCATAGAATATTGATCAGACTAGGGGTGTCGACGCAAGCTAAAAATCTGGAGGAGGCTCCTTTTAGTGAGTGAATGGATTGATGAATTTAGGGTCCAGGTCCCAAATCTTTCTATTCACGAAAGAATTGGAGAAGAACGAACTGCAGCTTCCTTTGGTGGGCACCTGTCCAGGGGTTTTCCGGGATGGCTGTCTAGCTCTCGTAGGGGCTGCCACACACTCCGTACGCCTAAAGCCGTGGGGTTGCAGTGTGGTAGGGGACCTCTTTTTAGGGGGCCACTGAGAAGTACGCCTGGTATTCAACCGCTGGAAGCGTGACGACTTTCTACCATCCATCCATTCCTCTTAGTTGCTATTATGATGCTCACCGCTGGCTTCCATTTGAACTGCAGACATTCACTACAAGGTTTCTACTCTGTGCAGCATAGTAGCATATCACACAAACCGGGGCTGGGACGACAAGGGTTATTACATACATGCATTGTATGGATCATGCAGGTGAGTGAGTGAGTGAGTGAGGGAGCAACAAAATCCACCGCTGTTAACAGACTATGTGCTCCCTTCGAGCCAGCAACCAAAATGTATTATCTGACCTTTCAAGGCACTTCACAATTGCTCAAGCCAAACAAACAACAAAATCTACCACACGCACTTCTGCTGCAAGGTACCTGACAGCTGGCTGATCTGGCTTTTGGTGTGCTAAGGAAATTGACCGATTCCGCAAGCAAGCAAGCCGTCGATCTTGAGGCGCACGCCGCCGCTTTTTCCAAGCGCTGCTATTCGATGGATGCACCCATCAACGGTTAGCCATCCACGTATCCAGATACAGTACAATACGCTCAGTACAGGTACGTGGATTGTGTGCTCTGTTCAACTCGGCTTTGTCTCTTTCTCTTCCGGCAACCCTTCAGCCTCAGGGGTTTCAGGGCGAGCACTGGATGAAAACCTCGGCGCCAGCGGATCCACGGGCCATAATGGACTTGTTCACTGATGCCCTCTCCCCTCCGTTGTCCTCTATTCGAAGCCCGCACCATGGTTCGTCAAGTATGATTCGGATATGGATATGCGGTCTTCACCCCCCACCGCTCGTTCAACTCTGCTTGCGGTACAGTGTACCTGTAAAGTTGCGCGTGTGGTATGCTCCACGATCATGCTGCAGGCCAGCAATCGCTAGTTAGTGTCAGGTCTTATCCCCTGACCTCCAGGAGGCAGGCTTCATGGGTGTCCCTCCCGTCCCCATAACAATACCCACTTAGTCGCCGTCTTTGCTCCATCAGCTAAGGATTGGGGTGCCACATTAGCTGAGTGAGCCAACATCCTCCAAGTGATTGATGTTGGTTGGAGTGCTTATCTACCATCGGCCATGGGTTCAGGTCTACCTTCTGGACATACAAAGGAAACAAGAGACGTCGACTTATTAAAAAAATTTTATCGCAAAGGTAACGGTCCCGACGGGGCGGCCACGCTGCGGGTGCAACACTGCATACGATATGAGGCGTCAATTATCTGTACGTATCTGTGGGCGTGCCTGCGTATGTATGCGGGATGCTGTATCCGTCTGCATCAACATGCTTCACCCAGATGCATGCTTGATGCAGTGGCCAGGTGGAAAACGGCACTTATCACCGATGGCGTCTGATGAGTTGTCCTATTCTATGATCTCCCCCTTTGTGCCTGATATCAGCCAAACCGAACTTCCAGCGCAGCAACAGCCTGATGTGTTGCCGCTCTGAAATGACGGATCCTCTACGGGTGCAGTACACACACCTAAGTTACTATGTATGTTCCTGAGCGGCGCGAGTGGCCCGGCGAAGAGCGTGAGACAGAGTCTGTCTGGGTCTGTGTTCAGTCCCCAGTGAAATGTGAGATCCCCCATTTATATCGCCCTGGCCGAAGCCAGCCACGGGTTGCGGGTGTTGGATAAAGTGCTTTGTGCCTATTCTCTGGAACACATCGTGATAAATTAAGGTATAATGGAAGGGGGAAGGATGTGAAACCATCAAGCCCAAAATAAGTGAGGATAGAAGAAAACCCCGATTGGAGTCGTTGCCGTCTGTTATGAGTGTAGCGTCTTGTCCTTACGGTTTACCGACCTTGCATATGGTCATCCCGTCCTCACCGTTCTCGTGGGGACAATCTGTGGAGGGGGTACCAACGATACCAAGATCGTGTTTGGTGGGGACTCGAGGCATCTTTGGTCTTTCTTTACTTCTTTTTGTTTGTTCGTGTTGTGATTCTTATTCAATTTCTGAGTCGTCAACCGACTACTTTGAGATGTCGCTGAGGGCTTTTCTTTTCTTCTTCTTTCTTTCATGATGCAGGGCAGGCATTATTGGGCCGCCTACGTCAGTTGCGTCTCCATTCGACTTAATCGGACCTTGTTGACGTTATAATGCGTGGGTGTAGTTCAGAAGCGGCCTGACGGCGTCTCTGATAGTTAGCGTCTCTCCACAATCTTTACTGCAATGGAAGCTGAAAAACAATGCAAGTAAATGGTACATTTTTCAACTTGCTCTTAGGTTGCTTTGATTGTACCTTACGATCCCAACGTACAGTAGATAAGGTACCAAGGCTTGCCCTGGCATCGTGCCTTCCGATCGACAGTCGAGTTGTACAAGGGAGGCAGGTGAGACGCTGATGGTCGCCCGTCTTGAATCCCAAAATTGACAAAACCCTGTAGATCTTGTTGATGGAAATGGACGACTCTGCCATTTACAGAATTTGACGCCGTCCTTAAGACAAGGTCGTGATTGGACGATATTCAAGTCTTGTTGAACGACGTGCTTCCTTAATCTTCTTTCAACTCCAGCTCAATCAAACACGAATCTCTCTTTCAACCCCCCTTTCTTCTTCTTTTGCATGACTATCCAAAGACTCAAACCCAGTCATAGTTACCAACGATTGTTTAATTATGGGCCCAATAATTGACTTTTGAGGCGTTGCCAAATTTGGCACCAGCGTCAATAGTCCAGGGGCAGTGACCAAAAAAAGCCTCCTAGGCCAAAGTCAGGACCAAAAGACAAATGTGCCCTTGACGGATCTCATGGAATACGAAAGCACGAGCCACGTTGTGATGCAGGTACGGAGCATTGGCAGTGATAGACGACCTCCGTAGTAAACACACTAATACGCGAAGCAGACACGCTTTAAACATCCGACATCCACTCTGCACTCCATCTTTGTTTGTATACATGGGGCCCGCGTTGGCCAATCCAAGAGCCTTATTCAGGTCTCCATCGACAAGACAGGAAATCAAAAAAGAAACAGAATCAAGATGAACAAACTTGGACTGGGGGGGCATACTCAGCCCTGGGACTTTTCTCCTGACTCGGCAAGCCCTCGAAATGACTTTCAGACACTGTCCAGCCACTCTCAGGGAATCTAAACTTGGATATTTGCCAAATTCAGAGGACTCGTGTAAATTTAAGAGCACGAATGTCATCGTGCCAGTTCAAGCTGATCATATGTATTGCAGTGGCCTGGTCCATTGCTATCTTGAGCAATTCATGAGCTGAATCTAATACAAACCCGATCTTCTGACACATGACAACTCACCTTATCAAATAATATACGTAGTCATATCTGACGAACTGAATGATTTTACATCGCAATTCGCTTCAAGCACCTTATCGTCATGGTTCCACGCGAGCTGAGCTAAATTTTCCTGATTAGTATTCACAGAGTTACAGCAAGACTTATGCTTCTTTAGACTGTTCGCTCGGACTTTCAGCTCTCCTATGCACCGGGACCTGACACCAAGGGGGCACCGATTAGGTTCTGGAACTGTCAAGCTCACAGGATAGGCGTTGCTTCGTCCTTGTTCATCTCTTGGAGCACTCGCCCCTTCATCAGTCTGTACGATGAGTGTCAGGTAAAGTGCCGAACAGTCAAGCTAGGCCTAAGCGCATGGCCGTCATAATCATACTAATGCCGCCATCCCATCCACAACACTTACACCTCGACGGCGTCGTCTGTTTCAGGTCGCTCTCCACGTTGGACCGTGTGTTACGTACCTGGCCATTGACCTTCCTCTACGATAGCAAGTAAGACAATGCGGCTATCATAGATCTTAGTGTGATGCGTTGTTTCGATTGACATTCACTCACCCCGGTTGATCGCCGCGGCCTCCTTATCCTGGTCCCCGGGGGTTCTTTGCTTCTGAAAAATTAAGTATGATCTTCCGCATTATAAGGATACATTTTAATATGTTGGCTCATCATTACCCAACTCTGGATACAAAACACCGTTCGTCAACCCGCCCTCATGGAACACTTACGGACATTGCCATCACTAGTTTTGTTTTGCATGACACAGTTTTCAACCCCTGTACCAAGTTGCAATATCCAAATTCTTACAACAATTGTCACAGCTTCGTCTCATTGAATTATGCAGCCCACGCTGAGCTGCCCGACGAGGATGGGCCTTGCTATGAAGTCGATGGAGAGTTCAATCATGACATAGTCACATACTGTCCATATCCTGGCCCCTCAATGACTCCTTTTCGTGCTCCTGTTATAGCAAGATGTAATCAGCAGTTTGACATAGTGAAGCCCCCTGCTGTCAGTCACCCAAATCAGAAATACTAGTAATAGGAACAAGAATCGGAATGTCTCGGTGATGAAAAGTGGCCTTTACAATTGGCTCCCAAGTCTAAGACAAATGCTTGCTTGGCATCTGGTATGTTTCAAAGCCTTACGATAAGGTTTAAGACACAGCTCACAAGCGAGATCGACTTGAGAAACTCTATTCAGCCCTGGGCCCTGGACATCCATAAACCATCGAACTTTGTGGATTGGGAGATGAGAATGCCTCACAAGCAAACGAAGATCATCATCACAAACTTTCGTGTTGAGGCGTCACAGCGTCCTCGCCTTTCAACTGAGTGCTATGGGTATCGTTTATTCGTCGTTTTGAGGGATTCTCTTCATCGTGCTGCTGCTCGCCTCGTGCCTAACTTCCCAGTAGCCAGATATCCTCTATTTCCCATCTCACCTCTCCATCCAATTCCCAATGATCCAAAGATAATCCTCCCGTCCAGTGTCACCTCCACACCCGACTCGGTGCCGTCCTCCGCGACCACGAAGCAAACCTGCTCCACTTCGCCCGGGTGCAGCACCGGCTTTTCGCTTCCGCTCGCCTCCCAGTTGCAGTCTCGATACCGCAACCCAGGCTCCGTATCTAGTACCACCTTCTCCAGCTGCACCACGTCTTCGCTACAGTTCTCCAGCTGCGCCTCGAGCACCCATCGCCCGTGTTCTTGAGTGTTGTTGGAGTTCAGAGGACCCACCTTGGTGCGCACGATGAGTGAAGCTTTGCAGATAAACTGGTACAGCTTGCGAAAAGTTCTTGTTCGTCCACTTGTCTCTGTCGCCTCGTAGTAGCTCACTGTTACCGCAAGCACGTGATTACCCTCCTCCTTAAGATCGAACGAGACCACTCTCTGCAAGGTACCTCCAGACTCAAGATCAACTTCAGGTTGACCATTTGAAGGGCCAAGCTCAAGGCGCTGAACAGCACCCATACCGGGCGTCTTCATCTCTGCTTCGATGCGCACATCGCGAATTTTCTTGGCAGCATCGATTGGTAGGTCATTGTTCGCGCAAAGAGTGCAGCTGAACGTCTCGCCGACATATGCTGAACCAAACGATACGGGAAGGTTGACGGCCGGACCGAGAAGGAATGGAGATGGGTTCAAGGCGGCTTCGGAGTGGTAAGCGAGCGAAGCCGGGATCGGGGCTGACTTGACGGATGCGCCGACTGAGGAGGGAGGATCGATCGGGTATTGAGTTACGAGCGATGGGCGCGACAGTCTTAAAGTTGACTGTACGTTAGCTATGTGAAGCTCGGAGTTGTATAGACCTGGACTCGTATAGCTAAGTAGCTCACCGAAGCACTTTGAGCGAGATAGAATGGGGCTCCTTGACTGGATCGTGGGAGGGATATCGCTGATGGCTCATCTTGCCATGGTTTCCTTAGGGCAATTATTACACTGTATCACAATCGTGATGTTTTTGAGTGTATTTAGTTGTCGTATGTAGGTGGTATGTATGGATTTCAATGTTACATGCGATGCGACAAAGGAAGGACGTTTGTTCTCTTATCGATAAGGGGATGGCCCCTCATCAGGCACGCCCAGCCATAGGTACCTTACATCATGTCGAACTATATGCGAGTCGTCCGAGTTCATCAGCTCGAAAAAGATGCTGATATCACAACTGATGAATAATTCTTACGCTCCATAGTAGTGTCTACAAGTCTTACAAGCTAATATCATTAGAAACGCCGTGTCCCTGGTCTGTCAGATAGTAAATATACCTAGGAAACATCACCTTATTCACTGCGAGTGTAATGTACTTCGACCTGCAATATGTCATTCCTAAAAACCAACTTTGCGACCTACTGGAAAGCAATACTGCTATTTCTTGATCGCATCCATACAAAGACGGTTCGATGTAGGTTCCTACTCAAATAGCTCGTAATCGTATGCGAGACCTGAATCAACACTCTTTCTTTCTGCAATGCAAACTGGAGCGTTCACGTACAGAGCCATTGAATTCCAAATCCAGTGACTTGTTTTTCTTTCAAAATCTGCAATTCTGTGACTCCCCTCAGGTAAGGGGTGACCCAATCAAAGTCCTGGTGGAGGAGGAACCTGCGAAATGTTAGCATTTACCCAGAGGGGGATATCTTGCAAAATGAGAGCTAATTATCTCGGCATCTATATCACATACCGAACCGTAACTCCCGCCTGTTCCAGGAGGGGATCCAGAAGGAGGAGGCGGGGGAGGTGCCGAGCTGGGCGGCGGGGGTGGAGGAGGAGCGGCTTCACTTGGGGGCGGAGGAGGTGAAGCTGACTGCCCAGGAGCAGCGCCAGGAGCCTGTGCTTGAGCCTGAGCCTGAGCTCCATAGTATTGCTGGTACATGGCAACATAGCTGTAGTAGATCGTTAGTATCATGAAGCAGGAATCTCTAACGACCAGATCTACTTACTTAGCATAACCACCATAGGCTGCATAAGGGTCTGCGCCACCGTAGTACTGAGCGTACTGGGCGGCATAGTCAGCAGCGGTCGTCGGACTGTTCACACCAGCAGGGGCTGGACTGTTTGAAGCACCACCCGAGTTAGATCCGTATCCACCATAGCCAGAACCACTATATGAACCATGAGAAGCTCCGTGCGAGCCACCGTGGGAATGGTTACGGTCACCGCCACCATTGTAGCGATCGCCCCCGTATCGGTCACCTCCATAGCGGTCGCCGCCGTAGCGCGGTGGGCGGCTCTTGAACTCTTCGTACTGTTCCTTGACATTGGCAATCAGGTCCTCGCAAAGCTCCTTTGCTTTCGCAACCATGTTGGGGTCAGGACCGCTGCATTTATGTTAGTTACAGATGTCCCCAAGCAACAGACACGTCAACTCACGTCACGTGGAGGAACATGTCTTCATCGCTCTCTTGGTTAGTGGCCGCCTCAAGATACCCAGAACCTCGTCCCTTGATCTGTACGCGACAAGTTGTCTCCTGCTGGATATGCTTTACGTAAGCACCTCCATGTCCAACGACCTGGGCACGCAGATTGAACCCATGTACGGGCTCCAGGCTGATAGGGATCTTCTCTTCGGGCCATTTACGCTACACAAAGACTGTCAGTATACTTGTTTCACACGTAAATCACAAGAACCTTACTCGACCAAACTCGTCACGTTCAACCTGCTCCTGATCTCGACGGCGGAAACGCCTTTCATCGACAAGCTGAGGGAGTTCCTGTTGGATCAGTTCGTTGATCTTGGCGACAGCGGCCTCCAAGCCAGACTTGCTCGTGCTTGTGATGTGAAGGTACAACGGAGGATTCTATGAGTGATTAGAGTAAGACTCAACCGAGATTAAATTGCTTTCTTACCGCGGCGGTTGCCATACTCTTGTTGGGATAGTAGCTGCCCCGGGTAGTAATATCTTGCTAAGTCAATATTATATCCTACAAAAAAGCATGAAAGCATTGCGTACCAGCGCCGGTTTCGTCTTTGATCTAATCAAATGGGAGTCAGCAGGAGCAACGAAGGGGGTATTGAAGCGAGCTATCAAGCTGTAAGCATGATATTCTCGATCCAAGTGCAGAGATAATCTATAGGAGCGCTTCTGGGAAGATCAGTGGGCTTTAAATCAGGAGTATTTACCATTTTCTGCGTAGACCCCTTGGTGAGGAGGTAGCGATTCCTTAGGTCATTGACTTCGATATCCTGGATGTAGTCGCCATCCGCAACATACATCTCTCCGTCGAGTGCCGGAGCTGTCTTGTTTGCGCTTTGCGGTGTCGAAGATGGTCGCGGCGGTGGTGATTCGGTATCAGCAGACCTGATGGGAGGCACATCGACGTGCTGGATTCCCTTACGGGCTTGAAGCTGCGCGTTTATGCGAGCCGCAGCGGCAGCTATAGATTATGTCAGAGGCATGTTCAGACAAACTCTGCAGCGACGGCTTTGAAAAAAAGCATGGAACAGGGGCACAAACCAGCGGCAGCGGCAGCATCGGTTGGAGACTTCCTTGTCTCGTGGGTTGCATCTTTTGCAATGGGGCTACGATCTCTACCGGGCTCAGAGCGACGCGACGGAGGAGATCGAGAGCGACGGTCAAATCGCGATGTCCTTTTAGGTTCCGGCTCTGTCTGGTCGAAGCGCGAACGCTTCACCGTTCGCCGTTCAGTTTCGTCCATACTCGACGAGATTCGAAGATAGAAATGAGAATTTGGAGATGTAGATTGGAGCTATGCCACGCTGGAGTAAAGCTGTTGCAGAAAGGGTACCGAGTTGTCGATTCTGGTCTATAGGTATTTATTAATGCAATTCCGGTGTGAAAAATAGCAACCGAAATGCGCCTGTGTTGGAGTGGAGTTAATGCTGGATGGTCTAAGGAAAGAACCTGGAAAGGCTGGTTGATGGACTTCTGATGAAGCACGTACCTCTTTCAGCCTTCCGCCACAGGTGGCTAGTGTGCTACCCGAAACCGGCGGTTGTGAATATGGGGGAGAGCTTAGGGCAATAGATATAGAAATGGGCAACATGGGGTAAAAGTGCAGGCGAGTGCGTAAGGCGACGGAGAGTATAAGTGTTTAATTATATTATGAGTGTTTAAATTAGTTATCTAAGTTGACTATACCTCGTAACGTGCTCTGGTTTTCCGATTCCTCTGGTAGATTTCCTTCTTAGTGATTAACAAGTGCTTCCTCATTGGACAATTAGCTTGTTGGCGTGGCTTGGCTGAGCCCTGCATGGTTTTAAGTAAGTGATCTGGGGAATGTCATGGGCATGGACTGGGGTCAATTACTGTAATGCATCAAATTATATGCCTACCTATGGAACAATTCAAACCCTGCAGTCACTTTCCGACTCATTGATTCGTTTATATGGCATAAGCCATTGTCAGTGATATGTAGGTTCGACATCAAAACTCATTTTCATAGCTCCCAAGCTCCTGATAACCTAGACTCGGAGCTTACAGCGGAGCCCCTGCTGAGCTGATCCGTGCCCCCGCGCAAACACCTGCTTCCGTCTCTTTGTAGCCTCCGGTCACCGGCCTATTAATGGCCCATCGATTTTTTCGGCATTTCCCTCGACCTATCTCTTCCGGCTTTGAGTCACCTTCATCTCATCCTCCGCCCGAACCAATTGCTATTTCTACCGTGTTGAGACCCTTCTTGTTCTGGCCAGAGAACTGTTCCTGTTCTCCTGTCTCTGCAAGATGGCTTCTCTACGGCCCTTGACTTCGTCCCTCCGCTGGGCCGCCTCCGCGAGGGGCGTCGCCACTGTGCGATATAGCTCCTCCTCGACCTCTGCCATCGCCTACAAGGCCCTCCGCCGTCGCTCTGCTCCCCTTCCCGTGAGCGACAATCCTCCTGCGTGGTCCGCCCAGTCCGCCGTCTCCAACATTCTCTACGAGACCCCGGTCCCTTCAACCGCCCCCCCTAAGCGCCATATCCTCAACTGTCTGGTCCAGAACGAGCCTGGTGTTCTGTCCCGTGTCTCCGGTATTTTGGCTGCTCGCGGGTTCAACATTGACTCTCTGGTCGTGTGTAACACTGAGGTTGACGACCTCTCTCGCATGACCATTGTCCTCACTGGTCAAGACGGCGTTGTTGAGCAGGCTCGCCGACAGCTTGAGGATCTGGTTCCTGTCTGGGCCGTCCTCGACTACACCAACGCAGCTCTTGTCCAGCGCGAGCTTCTTCTTGCCAAGATCAACATTCTTGGTCCCGAGTACTTCGAGGAGCTCCTCCACCACCACCGCGAGATTGCTGCTGGCGAGACTGATGTCGACTATGCACATGAGGCCATTGAACGTAGCATCTCCGATACCGCCAAGGACTTCCACCCTAGCAAGTTGGCCGTCAGTCAAGCTCTGCGACACAAGCACGAGCATCTCAAGTCGATCACTTACTTCGCCCACCAGTTCGGCGGTAAGGTCCTGGATATCAGCACCAACAGCTGCATTGTTGAAATGTATGTTACTTATCCCTTCCCTCTTATCTACCCAATCATGCGCAATACTGACATGTCGTTCTAGTTCCGCTAAGCAGTCACGTATCGACTCGTTCCTCAAGCTTGTTGCTCCCTTTGGCATTCTTGAGTCTGCCCGTACAGGTCTGATGGCTCTACCCCGATCTCCTCTGTCTGAAGGTAACCAGGAGTCCCTTGTCATGGAGGCAGACGAGGTTGTCGATGCTAGTCAGCTCCCTCCTGGTTAAATCAGATATCTCAATTAGTGGCCCGACCCAATGGCGTTTTCAAGGAAAGGATCTGATTTAATTGATTTAATTCCAAAGACTATTTTTATTGTTCGTGCGCCAATGCTCCACCTCCTGTCCAGTGTAGCTAGCAAATGATACCGTATCCTTTCGTAATCTGTCTTCTCACCATACTTTAGAACTTGCCTTTGTTGACGACAAAGCCTTCCAAGGCAGCTGATCGATGTTAGCATCATGCCTCGAAATGAAATAGCGTAAAGACTTACAAACAGCGGCCCAGAGACGGTTCTCGGCCTCGGGAAATACCAGAGAGCGGGGGCTGTAGAAGACCTCATCGGCAACCTCCTCAGGGTGTCGAGGTAGGCAGTGCATGAACTTCCAGTCCGACTTTGCACCTCCTCGCTTTGCAAGGTCATTGGTAATCTGGAAACCAGCAAAGTCCTTGAGGCGCTTCTGAGTGTCAGCTTCCTGGCCCATGGAAACCCATGTATCAGTCACCAGGACATTGGCATCCTTAACAGCCTCCTCAGGGACGTTAGTCTCAAAAAGCTTGCCGGGTGAGGACACGCCGTCAGCGGCGGAACTGATGAGCTGCCTCATGTCATCAGGGATCTCATAACCCTTAGGGGCGGCAACTGAGATGTCAACACCCATCTTGACACAACCGATGGCGAGATCGAACAGAACATTGTTGGCATCGCCGACCCAGGCGACCTTGAGGCCATTGAGGCCCAGGGTAGCTCCTTTGGCGCTTGCTGATGGGAAAGTTTCATGAAGAGTGAGGAAGTCAGCAATCGTCTGGAGAGGATGGAAGTCATCAGACAGAGCGTTGATGACAGGAACACTTGAGTGCTTAGCAAGATTAGCGACATCAGAGTGAGGCCCAACTCGAGCGACCATACAGGAGGTCATAGAAGAGATGACAACTGAAGTGTCGTACAGCGACTCATTCACCTTGTAGGCATTAGCATAGATCTTCGTCGTGTAAGTGCAATACTTACACCAAGCTGAATATCATCTTTCCCGAGAAACATGGGATGGCCACCAAGCATAGTCACAGCGGCTTCAGTGGAAACTCGAGTACGGGTGCTGCGCTTGCTGAACATCATAGCAATAGTCTTACCAGCAAGACCGGCATTGAGATAGCTGGCGGGAGCTCCACCCTTGACAGCTATTTTTCGAGTGTTGGCGTCACGAACAAGGTTGGCAAACTCATTAGGAGTAAGATCAGCAATTGTCATGAGATGCCTAGGTGTCGTAGCCTGTGAATACGCTCGTCTTTGAAGGCCTGCAGCGGTCCCTTGAGCGATTCGGAAAACTGAAGTCTTCATTTTGAGCTGTGTGCTGAGTGAGTCAATGAGTGATTGTACAATTAAGAGTGAGGTCAGAGGCTTACATACAATTGAGTTGAACGTTAGATCAAAGGAAGAAAGTAAATTTTTCTTTGTGCCAATGGCTAAAGTAGGTCAAGATATGATGAGTCTGTCGTAGGAAGAGTCACCATTGGAGGGCCATGTCCAGATTGTTTCCTCCTCCAGCGCAAAAGGCATATGCCCCACTTTAATGTGATGTTAAGCCGGTCTCGGGACGCTGACTCTACAACTTAACTAGATGATCTTATATGTGATTGGATCAGATTGCATTCTATATCAATCGTCCATACAAACACATTAGGTAGTTAGGAACCTACTGTATCACTGCAGTTTCTAAACTCTGTTAACTTAACTGTGAGTAAGAGTCCTTTACTAAGCTAGGTTTCTGAGGCCAAACGCCGTTACCGGCAGTTGAATTTCCAACAGTGATGATCCTGTTGGCGCACTATGAATTTACGCCAAGATCTCAAGATGGAAATAAGTAGATACTAAGAATGTAGGGAATTTTAGTTGGAGTACCTTTAGTGTATTACTGGTTACTATGACTCAATAGCTTCTCCCTTTGCTAAACGTCCAGATCGAGCCGACCTTTGTACTGTACTTTGTTGAAGTTGTGACAAGCATGAGTGACTACCTTGATCATCACCCCCGACAAATCGTGCCTCCTGAATCTGGTTTAAGTGCCAAGCCTGAATATTTGCTGCTTTACGCTCAGCAGAGATGTTTAGGTGACAAGAACAGCGCGTCAGCCGAATATACGAGAGCTCTCGGCCGTGTATTACAGGTGCATAGGTCCCGGGATGGGAGGCAAGTCAACGAACTCGAGGAAACATCTTGATGCTAGGAGATAGCTGTTCCCTAAGACAGATAGGTGCCCGCCTTCAAAGGTCTAGACACGCGATGCCCCCAGGCGGCGTTGAGAGGTCCCAAGTGCGCTCTCATTCGTGAAGGTGTTTTTGCAAATAGCGCATTAGTGCTCATTTCATCGGTCTATTCTGTTGATATGCCTGCTCTCTGCTGCCTTGACCTGAAAATTCTGCTGCACCCTTCTGTCGTGCATGAGCATTTGATATTAAGATCTTGTCATGCACGGAGCACTACTTTAAAAGCCAGGTAGCTTTAGATTGGACTTGCCTAGATCTCTGCGATATCGATAGGGCCTACTTAAACTGAATTAGATTGGATATCATCCCAAAACTTGATATCCATTAATAAGTCCAGTTTAATTGAAAAATGACGTCGCGTGCAAGACCTTCAGGCCCCAAATCTCAAACCCCCAAGTTTCAGGGTCGAACGCCCCTCTAATTGCTCTCTAAAAGCTGGGCCGTGAGGTTCCGTTCCTGGATTAGACAAACCCAAGCCAATCACAACACAGCCCGCCACAACCTTATCACGCATAAACCCTGCCACAGTGACTTCACCTCGATGACGAATCGTCCGCCATAATGTACCTACCTGACCTCAGCTTGATTACTTCATGCTTCTGAAATCTACATCATCTCCAACAACAACACAGATCATCAACCTCCCTCCATAACGTGACCATCCATCACTACGACCTGTACTAAGTCAATTGCGCCGCATGAGCGCCCCGAACCTCCATTAGACAGGTTTCCACTTCATCCGATACGACTGCAATGCCGGCCGAGGAGAACGAGCCTCTCGCCTCGCCAACCCGCGAGGAAGAGGAGCCTACCGAGACATCGCCCCTTCTCAGCAGAAGCGATGACGATCATCACAGTGATGCTGGTGAACGCGAACACAATGGTCGAGTCTCGACCGAACCTCAGTCACGGGCCGCCTGGAGTCTCTGGTCAATCTGCAACAAGAAGACCAGTACCAAGGCACCCTGGCGATGGCCTTCCATCATCGCCATGGTGATCCTTGGCATAATTATCATACTCATCATCATTCTCGGGTTCATTGTTCCCCCTGCCGTCAAGGAGTACGCTGAGAAAGCTGCTGTTCTTGAACCTACTAATTTATCCATTGAAAACATCACGAGCGATGGCATCCGGGCGCGTATTCGCGCAAACGTCTATCTCGATGGATCGCGGGTCGACAACAAAAACTCTCGCCGTATGGGAATAGCGGTCACTGGCATCATGCGAAAACTCGAGACCAAGGAAACAACTGTCAACGTCTATCTGCCCGACTATGCCGATGCGCTTGCCGGCACTGCGGTTATTCCTCCCCTGGTTGTTGATGTGGTTAACGGACACACCAATGAGCTGGACTTTGTGGCAGAGGTCAACCCTGGCGATGCTGAGCATATCCGCAAGATTGCGAATGATTGGTTGGAGGGGAACCTGAAGCAGCTGAAAGTAGTGGGCAAAACCAAGGTTCACCTCAAATCGGGAATCGTCCCGCTTGGTGCTCATGATGTGGCGGAATCCATGGTCTTTGAAGGTCAAGCTCTCTACCACTCCTTTGCTGCCCTATTCTTAGGAAAGAAGACACTCTTTTAATGAGAAAACGCGAATATATTTCTGTACGGCTGGACTGACAGATTAGCAGCTAATGAGATCCCATCAATGCCTAACTACAACATAGAGCGCATAGATCTTCACGATCGGCCGGTAGATGGCCGCGGACGAAAAGTGATCGAGGCCGACGTATCTCTGAAAGCCCACAATGACTATCCAGTCTCCCTCCGAGTCCCGACTCTTGGGTTTGAAGTTCTAGTGCCCAATTGTGATTCATCACTGCCTTCTATCAGTGTTGCAGATGCTATCACGGAGCCAATTGATGTTAAAGCTAAGGCAGATGTTCAAGCCGATGCTAAAGGCATCATCCGCGACATTCCAGAATCTTTGACGAAAGCATGCCCTCACTCTGAATCATCTCCTCTCGACCATTTCATGGACCGTTACCTACATGGCGAGGATGCCAAGGTGCTTGTGAGAGGAAAGAAAACCAATAGTACAGAAACCCCCGAATGGATATCAGATATCCTGGAGAGTATTACAGTACCGGTCGATTTTCCAGGACGATCATTCGATAGCTTGATCCGCAACTTTTCCCTGACGGATGTCGACTTCAAATTACCCGACCCTTTCGCCGACGTCAATGATCCCGAGGGCGAACCTCGAGTATCTGGCACTGCACAAGTACTCGCGGCTCTTCCACCTGAACTGAATGTGGATTTGGGGGTGGACAAGCTCCGCTCCAACGCTGATCTGTTTTACAAGAAGCGTAAAATGGGCGAGTTGAATTTGCGCCACTGGCAAAGTGCCAACTCAACAAAAGTTCAGGATAAAGAAAGCGGTGAAACTCTTCTCAACATCACATCACGACTAGTCGATGTCCCCTTAACAATCACCGATGGTGATGTATTCAGCGAGGTCATGCAAAAGCTACTGTTTGGAGGCGGCGATATCACACTTGACATCAAGGCTGAAGTCGACGTAAAGCTCCAAACCGTCCTCGGCATTCTGACGGTGAAGAAGGTTCCCGCAGAGGGCAAGATTCCAGTAAACGGTCCGTCATCGCTGTGGTAATCTCTTGCACCCCCCATGAGGATGAACAATCCTTATCTACACACTGAAGTATTTTCTTAACACGCCTCGCGACCATGGCAAGAGCCAATACTGACTCATGATTAGGATTCCCTGGAAACGCACTTGGCAAACTCAAGCCTCAAGTCGGCGAGATTGAGGTTATGGAAACTACGGAGACGGGCATTCAGATGAGAGCCCTTGTCAACCTCACAAACCCTACACCATACGCAGCTGTTGTCCCCTACCTCAGCGTACACATTCTTCACGATGGGGAACTTCTCGGCGAGGCCATATCGAGAAATGTCACTTTTGACCTCGGCAAGAACACCAACCTTCCTGTTCTTGCGACCTGGGACCCCTTACGATTTGGCGGCCAGAAGGCACAAACAATTGGCCGCAAGCTACTATCAGACTATGTATCCGGTAAGAATACGACATTGACGGCACGTACTCACAAACGGAGTGTCCCAAATGTCCCCATAATCGGCGAGGCTTTATCAAATATCAACATCACTCTGCCTACACCGCGAATAACTGTCCCTGGCGAGGACGAGCACGAAGGCGAGAAGCCACGATTTATCGCAGATGCCACCTTTCATCTCTTTTCTTCGACAGCCACTTTTACACTTCTTTCTCCATTACTATACAACACTTTATACATAGAACACATCAACGCAACTGCTCTTTACAACCACACTGAGCCTGTCGGTCAGATTATACACGATGAACCTTTCCCAGCAACACCTGGACGATCCCAAACCCCGCGCCTGCCGGTTATATGGTCTGCCAGCAGCGTGGGTTATGGCAAGTTAAAAGAAGCATTGGGCGGATCGCTCAAGCTTGATGCCATAGCCAACGTGACTGTGAGATTGGGCAGTTGGACTGAGAAAATCCATTATACAGGCAAGGGCATTGGAGCAAAGGTCAGCCTATAAATCTGATCGATTCTGGAATGTCTTGGTACAGAAATGTTTGGAGTTGGCGGTTCTTATTTTTGGGGGGAGGACTTGCTTGGGATACTGGCGCGTATCATTTCTTTTCCCTTACAGACACCTAGGATACACGAAATCGATTTCTTTACATTATTACATATAGTGGTGTTTTTTTTCTGGGCTGTGCGTTGTTTGAAAGAGTTGTAGTGAACAGTAACTTGTTTCAGCTGTTCAGCTTTACTGATTCTATGAACAACTACATATATACAGAGCACATAAGGAAGACAATCACAAAGGTCATTGTCACAACAAAGGTGACGTTCGTTGAGTCTTCACATAATCGCAGAACACTAACAACGAGCATGTTGGTATAAGAAGCTCGTTTGTGCCAGCCCTGATGTCAACAACCATTCAACTAACCATCCTCACATCATCTCCAGCTGACAAGCCTTGCAGGAGAATAAGACATTTTTCAAGGTAAGTCACAAACCGTTCATCGACTAATCATTCTAGGTTCTCGATTTCAAGAACAAACATGTCTTCTCAATTTCCCCCTGGACTCACTTTTACCAAGGTGAACAACTCCAGCCACAACGACAGTACGACCCCCCTCCCATTGTTCTCATCCTCGGCCAGTAAGTCAGGCCAGGGGTCAACTCTAGCTCTGAAGATGGCACAGGCCATGGAAGGGGAGGTGGATGAGGCAATGAGGGACACGAAGGGGACCTGGAACGAGATGGCGGCCGAGAACAAAGGCCAGTTTATCGTAAAGAAATGATGGTAGGGGTGATGGTTCACTTGGAGCTCATGTTTTAATCTTGTATTTCCCTGGGAATCAGATGAACAAGGGGTTCTCAAGAAAAGGGTCTTCGTGAGAAGCAAGGAGGGGGGAAACAGGAACCTAGGCAGAGTTAGTTGAATACAAAACATACCTTGAATCTAAATCTTCACATGGTGTCAGCAGGAAATAATATCATAAACAAGCACATGAGTAAAGGGAAAAAGCACCTTTTTGTTGATCTGAATTGTCCATTGCCGGTATTACTATTCGTAGCCTCCAAAACCATCCTGTGATAAAAAGTCGAGTGAATTATGCAAGTCGTACACCAGCTTCCCGTCGCTTCTTGAGCTGCTGTTGAGCTGCCAGACTCATACCGGCAGAACTTGCGTCAAACATGCTCTGTGCTTCGCGTCGCTTCTCGTCCTCAATCTTCTTGAGCCGTTTCTCTGTCTTGCCCTTGCCGCTTCCCTTGCCATGGAACTTGTGGCTCATGTACTTGAACGCCTCCTTTTGGTCGAGAGAACGGCCGTGGTCATCGGTGTACTTGATCTCGACGCTGGGTTTGTATCCTGCTGAGAACAGCTCAGCCATGCGTCGAGACTGCTGCTGATCTCGCCAGGTATTTTGTTGACGTGCCCATTCCTCACGCTCACGAACTGACATTCTATCCAGCTTGCCACTTGTACGGTCACGCTCTCGCTGGGCCCGTGCCTGCTCGTCCAGCTCTTCTTCCAAAAGACGTTTCTTGGCGAGGAAGTCTTCTCGGTTTCGCAAGCTGCTATATTCCGCATCGCCCCGGGTATCTTCCACGAGACCACGCTCTCTTAGTAGCGCAAGAGCCGCGCCCATACCTGCGCCGACGGCCTTCTCTTCTTCGACACCCGTCTCATCCAACTCCTCGACAGCTGATGGTTGGGGCTTCTCTTCGACTACCTCTGCATCGTCGCCCATGGGGTGATCACCATCGGGTTCTGGGGACTTTGATATAGTCTTTGGTCTTCTGGGCTTGCGCTCTTCGTTTTCGCCGGGTTTACTTAGGCCTGCAACAAACTCCGAGACTTCGTCGAGAACAAGGCCACCCTCTTGTTGTTCTGCTGGTTCTGGCTCGTTCTCTTCTTCCTTAAGCAACCGAGCGATGTCTTCGGGTCGGGTCTTCTTCCGCTTCTTCAAGGCATTCTTTCTTTGGATCGCGAGTGTTGCTTGAAGGTCGTCGTCATCCACAAAAGTATCATCGACTGCTTTTCTCTTCTTAGTCGTCGTGTCTTTTGAGTCGATGTCCATCGTGTCATCTACGGGTGTTGTTTCAATGGGGAAGAGATCATCATCATCTGTGGGCTTTTGTCTGGTTCCCTTCTTGCCCTTCTTCTTTTTAGGCTTCTTGACTTTGATCTGTGAGGGATCTATATAGTCCGAAGAAATAGGGGCATCACCTATAGAAGTTAGTTGGTTAGTATAATATTCTTTTCGTTGGGTATACAAGCAGGACTTACCAATAACGTCGTCTAAGCTCACGTTCTGGCCGTTTTTTGTCTTGTCAACCGGTTTCTCAAGAATGTCAGAGAGCTCTGCAATGACGCCACTTGTGTCGAGCGTGAACTTCTTGGATTTCTTGCCCTCAATCTCTTCATCGTAGTGTGATAAAATACCACGCTCACCGTCCTCGTCGTCATCTAGGGGGTTGTAGCCTGGTTTCTTCTTCTTGTTGTCAAGTCTCTCGGCAAGCCTCTCGGCCTCGCGCATGTTCAGATTCTCCAGCTCATCGCCTTCTTCCTCGTTCTCGTCAATGGTTGTATCCTTGAGGGTAAGAATTTGGTCGTCGCCATCGAGGAAATCCGCCGTGTCATGTCCAACTTTGATACCGGCAAGATCCTTGGAAGTATACTGGACTGCTGCTGCTGCTTCAGCCTCAGCTGCGGCCAGCTCCTCTTCCAATTTTCTGACTTTGGCGATCTTCTTCTGTCGTTTCTTTTGGCCTATGAGCCAGTCTTTGGCGCTAAGATCACCGCCCTCTTCGGCTTCCCCAAAGCCTTTGCCTTCCAGAACTGTATTTCGTTGCGCCTGCTCCCGGGCTTTTCGAATAGCTGCGGCTTTCTCTTCGCGCTTCTTTTTTGCCTTTTCCGCTTCCATCGCCTTGTTATAGTTGTCGTAGGCCTGCGCTTGACGGCTCTCCAGTGTGCTGGGTGCATCGCCATCCGCGTACATTGACTGAGTTTGACTGGTGTTATCTGCTCCTGGGACAGGCAGAGGCTTCATTCCCAGGGAGATACGAATTCTGTTCGTCTCTTCGATCGTTGCGGCGTCCATCTTGGCAGTCGTGTCGCGATGGCAACGTCGATATACGTGATGCGACTATGTTAGACGATAAAAAGGACTGTTTCTTGGTAGGCAGAAAGATAGGCCTGAGGTTGATAAGCACGGATCACTTGGAAACGCGACTGGTGGAACCAGACGTGACTAGGTACGTACCTAGGTAATTCCGCAGTTAGACCGGATTATGTAAGCGGACACTCCAAAAGTTTTGTGTATTTAAATCTCCAAGGTTCAACCAAAATTTTCTTTCCTCTTCTCTTCAAGCAAACACGGATCTGTGCCTAGCGATCCCCTGCTCTTCGGAGTCAGGGTCGATTGCTTTGCAGCTCGATAACTTATAAGGAGCCATCAACTTGTTATGGTGTCAATCATCCTATCGACAGGTCCAAGAGTAACTGTTGCTTCAGCTGCTTCATTCGCTGTCGAGAGACGGCTTGAGTGTCGGGGCTGTTGCATAACGAGACGCTATATTCCACCCCCCTTTTCCGAGACCGTCGGTCGGTGAGGTTGGGGAAAACCATGGCCTACCTACATATCTTTTTGATTAGAAGAATCTTTTGCAATAGGTGATGTCTGTATAATTCCACATGTTAAGATGCATCTGAGACGGCCGTCAAACTTTTTAGCGGACCCCGGACTAGGTTGCCGAGCAACAAAAGCGATACAACGCTTGACTTTGGTCTTTGGTCGTTGCTGATCCCCCATGTTATCTTGCCTTTGACAGCTAGAGCCTCTTTCTGATGGCTTCGGCTTTGATCCTGAATCTGGGGATTATGACCACCTCATGACAAAGAAACAAGCATCATTTCACGATCTACGGCCCGTCTTCGGAGCATGGTACCAAGATTTGACTAGATCGCATAATGACGGCGGAGTGTCCTGTTGTCGGATCTGTGACAACGTTTATTGACCAATAACGCAGCCACAGGGTAGGCATGTTCCGTAAATGAAGTTGTATCCAAGTGAGATATCATGTCACAACAGTCGATAACCGAGGGTAATATGTACATATGTACTGCATGCATATATGCATACATAGACATGAAGGTTGTGTTGCACTCGGCGCTTTATTCCAAGCTACTCGGTACTCATTAATCATCCGTCCACTACCGACGCCTGCATCCGGGGAGTTGTCTAGTCTGGGGTTTGAGAATTTGAGCATCACGAGAGAGTCCGGGGAAGGGACGGAACGAAGCGAGAGCCCAGAGCTCGGTTTGCATGTGAAGACTGTCTATGAATGGTTATGTTTCTACAGGGGGATATTCCTCCTCCTCCCCATTGGGAGGTAATCATGCCATGGAGGTTGTCTACCCCACACTATGAGTTGGAGACTTGTTAGTGAAATCATACATTATTATTTGGGGAAATGTCACAAGAGCTCAAGTCAGCTGGTGCATGTGAATGGTATATCCCACTATCAGAGGATAAGTTTACAATAAAACTCCAAATCATCGTTCTCCTTAAGAGTCATCTAGAGTCATCGTGGGTTGACAAGCATGAATGGGTATAACCTCAGCGACTACAATAAGCCGAGGTGATATCAACTGCAAAACAACACCACCACCTGGAAACTGCAGGAAACTAATTGTAATCAACTCGGCCTCATTCTAATTATTCGGCCCTTTAAACCACACCGCACTATTCCTCAAAGGCCTACGTCCGATGTTCACGAACTCTACAGCTTGCTTCCGCACTTCCATATTCGGCATCTAACAACTAGACCCTTGACAAGGCCAATTCTTCTATTACGAAACTCCCGTAATAGTCGGCATGCCGGCTCTCTATAAAAGCTTCACGATGGACCTGATAGATGTTGGTGATTCAGTCTCATCAGTCTCGATCAACTCTACAGCCTCTCTGATACACCCTATCATGTACTTTGTGTCTTCTGCCTTTCTTCTCGGCTCATTCGCTCTTCAGAGCGTCTTGGGCCGACCAGCCTTCGATGAGCGGAGTCTCGTACAAGAGAGACAATCTTCGGTCGACTCCTTTATCAAGTCTGAGAGTTCAGTTGCTATTGAGCAACTCCTCTGCAATATCGGCTCTGATGGCTGCAACTCCAAGAACGTGGCTACTGGTATTGTCATCGCTTCTCCAGACACCAAGGATCCTGACTGTAAGTTGATGATACATAGAACCTGAATCAAAGACACTTGCTGACAGGCGCTAGACTTTTACACTTGGACTCGAGATGCTGCTCTAGTCTTCAAGTATGTTGTCGATAGGTTCATCAACCAGTATGACGCTGGCTTGCAGAGGAAGATCCAGGAGTATATCGCCTCCCAAGCTAAGCTCCAGGGTGTTTCCAACCCTTCTGGGTCGCTTTCAGATGGCTCAGGTCTAGGAGAGGCCAAGTTCAACGTCGATATGAGCGCCTTCACTGGCGGTTGGGGTGAGTATTCATGCTTTGGTGCCCCTGAATGAGAATTGTTGACTAAAGGTTGCCAAGGTCGGCCCCAACGAGATGGTCCAGCTCTGCGTGCGACTGCTATGATCACCTATGCCAACTGGCTTATTGCCAATGGCTACACGTCTACAGCCAACGACATTGTGTGGCCTGTAGTTCGCAACGATCTTAACTACGTGGCTCAATATTGGTAAGTGATACAGCAGCCTTAACTAGAGCCAGCCTGACCACCATAGGAACCAAACCGGATTTGACTTATGGGAAGAGGTCAAGGGAAGTTCGTTCTTTACAACTGGCTCCCAGTATCGAGGTTAGTTTGATGGGTTGTTCTCCTGTAGATGATGTACTCACATTTTACAGCTCTCATTGAAGGTGCTGCTCTGGCCAAGAAGCTTGGCAAGTCAGGAGACAACTACTCCAATATCGCTCCTCAGGCTCTCTGCTTCTTGCAGACTTACTGGATCTCTTCTGGCAAATATGTCGACTCTAACAGTAAGTATCACTCTGCCCAGACTACTAATCATAATGATAACTGATCCATGCAGTCAATGTCAACGATGGCCGCACTGGCAAGGACGCCAACAGTATCCTGTCCTCCATCCACAATTTTGACCCTGCTCTGAGCTGTGATCCCGCCACCTTCCAGCCATGCAGCGACAAGGCCCTCGCCAACCACAAGGCAGTTACTGACTCTTTTCGCTCATGGAACATCAACAAGGGCATCTCTCAGGGCTCAGCTGTCGCTGTTGGCCGATACGTGGAGGATGTCTACTACAATGGTAACCCCTGGTACCTCGCTACACTCGCCGCAGCAGAGCAGCTCTACGATGCCATTTACGTCTGGAAGCAGCAGGGATCCATCACTGTGTCAGACGTCTCTCTTTCGTTCTTCAAGGACCTCGTCTCTGGAATCTCTACCGGGACATACGCCAGCGATTCTGCTACCTTCAAGAGCATCACTGACGCTGTCTCCAAGTATGCTGATGGATACGTTGCTATCGTCGCAAAGTATGTCGGCACAGATGGCCACCTCGCAGAGCAGTTTGACAAGAACGATGGCCATCCACTTTCTGCTACAGACTTGACTTGGTCATACGCTGCGTTCCTCTCAGCTGCTGATCGTCGAGCTGGTGTTGTTTCTCCTTCTTGGGCTGGTAGCGTGGCTGCCGTTCCCAACCAGTGCGGTACCAACACTGTTGCTGGCTCGTACTCACTGGCCACTGCAACTTCGTTCCCGGCATCACAAACACCCAAGGATGGTGTGCCCACTCCAACTGGCACTCAGACTTCCACTTCCACTTCCACTTCCAGCTCGTCCACTAGCACCAGTTGCCCTATTGCAACTTCCGTGGCTGTCACTTTCGAAGAGGTTGTCACTACCAACTTTGGTGATACCATCAAGATCGTGGGCAACATCGCTGCGCTCGGTAACTGGGACACATCCAAGGCTATTGCCCTAAGCGCCTCAGACTATACCTCCTCAAACCCTGTGTGGAAGGCTACCATTTCCCTAACTGCAGGACAGTCTATTCAGTACAAGTACATCAACGTTAAGAAGGACGGCTCTCTCACCTGGGAGAAGGACCCCAACCGCACCTATACTGTTCCCAAGACATGTGCCACAAAGGCTACCAAGTCTGACAAGTGGCAGTCTTGAGGAAATGCTTGTTCTATACTGCCTTAAGTGTTGTTTCGACACATTTGATTTGCAAGTTGGAAGATGACTCAAATTGTTACTTTTGACAGGGCTGGGAGTGAAATCCAATGCTTTCGATGACGAAAACGAAGGACACGTGTTTGGAGATAGCAAGTCTGATAATAACACATATATTATTACAGATGCTTATTGAGTTACATGGCATATTAATTATGTTTCCCTTGTACTGAGTAATTGGTGGATTGATCATTGGTTTGAACATGTGCTCTCAAGAAACAATGTATTGAGTTTCTGGCCGAAGCAGAGTGACGCATGTCTTTGTATAAACAACCGTGGAGTGTCATCCTATGAATGTCAGGTTCATTAGTGGTTCGCTGAAATAGCAGTATTCTACCGAGACAACACCCACTCAGTCTATGAAGAGTCTGTTTTGGTATTCACAACAGTCATGTTAACTCTAAACCTAACATTAGCCACTGCAACCCCTTCATGGGGAGACACGAGGATATCTCAAGTCACTACCCATCTCTTCGACCCTGGTGTCAATAGCGGAATCCCAAGCACTTGCTGAAATTTGCCGATTGTGATTTATCCCAATACCTTCTGTAACTTCATTCCGTTGGTAGCTCCTTTACGCAAACTCTTCATCCTCTTCCTCCTCAATCTGGTTTTTGACTCGCACCAAGATCGTCGTCTTCCACTTATCCAACTTGCTGATCTGGTCGAACTGGTACAGTCTGTCGGTAAACTGCTCCTGGCTCTTGGCCTCGATGGCCTCGCACAGATCAGTCAAGAGCTGATGCTCTCGCTGTGCGCCAAATGAGGGATCCATGTCGCGGTACTTCTCCAGGGCGCGCTGAGCGGCGACCAGATCGCCACTGGCTAGATGGCATATACCTGCCTTGAGTAGGTAGTCCTTGACGCTGTACTTCATGAGGTTGTTGTTGATTGATTGCTCAGCCACTCTCTCGTATTTCTCGATGGCCTTGTAGTAGTCGCCCTCGATAGCAGCCACGTCGGCGACCTTGAGCCATAGCTTATTGGCAAGACTGTCAAAATCCGTGAGCAGATGCAAAACGCGGTTGTGATTGTCTTCTTTAACTTACGCTGCCGCATTATCGCCCTCATACCAGGTAGCAGCGAGTTCATAGCATTCGATAGCGCTCTTGGCATCGCCAAGTTCCACCTCGTACAACTCGCCGAGGTTTTCCTTGTGGGAAGCTGCGCGGCGGAAATTACCCTTGGCGCAGTATCGGTCGACAGCGATGTTAAGGCATCGCGCAGCAGCCTGGGGATCGTCTTTGCGGTAGGCCTTGAAGGCATCGACGAGGGTGTTGGCAGCGTCATCGGGTTCCTTCAACTTGTCGGTTTGAACTTGTGCGGCCTGTTCAAAAGCCTTTCCGGCTTCAAGGTCTAGACGTCGGGAAGTGTCAGCTTCGGTTTCATGACGAAACAAAGCGGTAAACGCGTACTCTGCTGCTGCATCTTGAAGGCATTGGCGGCTTGAGTGAAGAGATCAGCGGCCTCTTGATACTTCTCCTCTCGTCCACCAAAGAAGCTGAAACCACCACCGGCACTCTGAAGCTGCTTCTGAGCCTGAAAGTTGCGATGTGTCAGCACAGCTGAAAGGAAACAACCAATGCAAAGCGGGGGAGGGGTTACGAAACCTTTTGGAGAAGAGCTCTTGGGTCTTGAGCCATGGTCGTGATATTCGTGAAAGGGGTATCAAGGAAGATTTGAGAGGAGAAACAGAAAGAGAAAAAATGCCACGTTATAGGTTATCAAGAGCTGGCTTGGAGTTGTATGTAAGTGAAGATGGCGAGTACCTTGACTTGCGGCGCGGACGGCGGCTGAGCTATGACGACGGTCGTTTGAGCCACAGATACCTGGGGTCTTTTTAGTGGGCCGCTATTGCACCTCAGAATTCGGCACTGAAGATCTAGGTTAAGGCGGATCATAGAAAATAGATCAGTATCGACAGATCAGGTCAACTACAGACCATGACAATCTGCGCATCCTGCCGCATCGCCCTTCGGCGCAGCATCGCACATTCTACAAAACCTATGATAACTCGGTTCATAACAACAAACTCATCAACCGCGGCCTCAATCCTCGAGAAACCCACTTGGTCCGTTCGAAGCCTTCTACCATCCTCGCCATCTTCAGCTCCCGCAGAAAAGATCACGCCCTCCCAATTACACCACCTCCTCCGCCTCTCAGCCCTTCCGTTGCCAGCTACACCCAAAGACGAAGCTGCCATGATCAACACCCTTCAGAGCCAATTACAGTTCGTCCGCGCCGTGCAGCGTGTAGACACGACCGGGATTGAACCCCTGCGGGCGATCCGTGACGAGACCACAGAGGCTCGACGAGAAGTGACAATTGGACTTAGTGAATTGCAAGAAGCTCTGGATAAAGAGGTTCGTATAGGACATTATAAAAGGGCGAGGAGGGTTAGAGAGAAGATTGAGTCCAAGGCAGAGAAGTGGGATGCTCTCAAGACAGCTGGTAAAACAGCGGGACGGTATTTCGTGGTTGAGAGTGGGAAGAACGATGTGGATGGTGCTGAGTGATTGCGATATACGATTCGCAAGATAACTACTTGTATAAGTGCCCCAAAGAGATACCCCTTTGTACATTAAATCCTCAAATGAAAGATTCTGAACCATACAATTCTGCAATCATGTTCGCCTGAACCTTGCCCAGGTATCGCTATGTCACCAATAGTCTTCATATGCACATGCCCCGACCCGTAAGTCTCTATGCTCATAACATTATGAATAAATATTCATTTCCCGTTGCCCTTCTTACTCGATGGTCCGGCTTCCTCGTTATTCTATGACTTGTTTTCCGACGGTCCATCTTTGGGTTTAGGCTTGGGCACCTTCTCGTACGCATTCGGACTCGGCGCCCTCTTCTCTTTTCCCTTCCCACTTCTCCGTCCACGTCCATGACTGTGTCCATGTCCATGCCCACAGCTCTGGCGCTTCCCGCCTGCTGGTTGTGCCCCATCGCGATCAGAGCCCGAGTCTGAATCTGAGTCTGAATCGGAGGAAGACTCATCGCTGGATTCGTCGACCGCTTTCGGTTTATGGTAGATACAACACACTATTGAATTCTGTGTTAGTATATGAGCCTACAGTGGTCTAAGATCATGTTACTCACCTTTTGAGCTCTTGCGTCCAAGACCTTCATTATCTACTACATCCTCTGCCCACTGTACTGATCGCCCATTAGACGCATGAGCGCCTCGAAGTCTCAGGATCTGTGGTGCTTGTTCTCTTGTTTCTGGTGTTTGCGCCGGGGTCTCGGTTTGTGTTTGTGAGGGCGCTGGTGCGCTTCGTTGTTGCCGTTGCGACATGGCTGTGTTTATGTGATATTCGACGTAGCTATACCACGAGCGACTATTTGTCTCTTCTTTGACAGGTTTGTTGGAGAGAAAGAAGTGAACCCTTCCGCAAGATGTGTTGTTGTCTTGTTAATAATGTTGTCACGCGCTTGTTGATGGAATCGTATGGCAAATAAATGATTTGCCTTAGTATCGGCATTGTGCTGTAAAGATACGTACCTCTTTTCACGTCACATCCGATCTAACCAATCATGCAAGCTACCTTTTGTAGGTAGGTTTTCACTTCCTGGATATGAAAACATGTTATCAATATCAATGTAGGAAGTTTCTATTTGAGCATTTATGTAGGAAGTCACCAACAAGAAGAAGGTTTGATTGATTGTACATCGATCCGGAAGAGGGTGAAACTCTTGATAAAATTGCATCGGAGACTTAGTAAAAGGAACACTGCTATTCTTAACTGTCAGGGTATAAACTTGACGTTGCAACTACACCGGGTGATCTTCCACGCACGTTAAGGGATCAAGCACAGCAGCCAAGATGAATTCTCGCCTTGCTAGACCTCATAGTTCTCTTGTACTTCTATATTATACAATGCTTAGATACAATCTATACTTGGGGTGATATACAATTGACATGGTAATGTCACCATCATCTACTCATTCATCATACAGCCTTAAGTCGTACAAAATCCAACCATGATAGGGCTCAGCTGATTGCAGCTCTCTTTTCAGCTTTGACCTTCTTCTTGGCACCCTTCATACTTCTTCGCGGTCGGCTCCTCTTGTGCTCTGGCAATACACGAGGCTTGTTATGTAACCATCCTTGGATAGGCTGACGGGAGCCAATGAAACGCCCCTCGGGACTAAAGACATCGACTGCAGGCCAGCCAGGTTCTATCGCAGGCTCAGGCTCCTTGCGCCTCTTCACCTCCGAAGTTCCTGCATCTATTCGCTGAGCCCTCATGGCTGCAAAAGGATCAGACGCATCCAACTGCTTCGGCTTGACCCTTTCGTCGAATCTGGGCTGTTGGTCTGGAAATACCTTCATAGCAACATCCTGGGCGCGGACTTGAGCAACAAGCTCGACATAGCCAACGCCCTCGATGAGGATGTCTGTCGATAACACTCGGAAAGGCAGCCTGTCGACATTCAAACCAATCGCATTCTTCCGTGTAAGAGGGCCAGCTCGTTTTCTGGTAACGTCGTGAGACAGCTTAAATATTCCAGCATGCTTCATTTTGTCTCCGATTCCAGGAAGCATAATACTTGGTACGCCGATAGACTCTCTTGTCTGCTCCTGGAAAGCAATAGCTTTCTCAGTCTGAGTGAGATGCTCCTCCAAGGGTGTAAAGTTGTATGCCAGGAAGACCAAGCCGGGGTTCTTTGGTGTGATGCGAATGAGACCTCCTCCCAGTACGAGGGACTTGCCAGGCGTCATTGAAATCTGTTCAGGCACAATGCGCTTCTTCATGATCAACGATTGACGGCACTCCTCCTTCACAAACAAGTCCAGGTCGCTCCGTGCCAAACCAGGAAGGTCGATTAATTCGCCTTTTCCGTTTCCGAAAGGTACCCGAATTGGGGATGCGGTTGTGCCAGGGAGTGAGGATACCAGAGGCATGTCGGGATAGTTCTGGGCCGGCTGAGGGGGCGGAAGCAATTCCCCAACATCTACATCTTGCTCTCCAACCTGTTTGGCATATATTGATTCCGCGCTGACACTATCCCGAGGATATGTTGATACTGATGTCCTCCCAGCCTCCTTGCTTGGCCCCATTCTGCCCTTTGGATAGACAGCCTCAAAGAGCTGACTTTTGCCCACGTTGACCTTTCCAACCATCCACCCCGCACCGCCGCGCTGCCAGATATCTTCTCTAACCTCTGTGCACCACCAAGCACGTTTTGCGCTAACACATCGGACATTGCCAAGACGAACCCTGCCTCCAAGTCGGCCGAGAGCATCTCGTAGCACTTCGCGAAGGTAGGGCATCATTGAGTCCACAATCTCTTTCGTAGGGCCAAGAAGATCGCCACGAGTGATGATAAAACTCAGTTCTGTCTTGCGATCATTCTGGTACTTGCCCGATCGTGATCTTCGATTGCGCGTCCTGATTGGAATGTCGCCTAGGAGAACATTGAGTCGAGGGATGAGCGACATGGGGAAGTCGGCAGCATCGATAACATGATAAATGTGATTATACTTGTGCGGCGATTCCTCGATGGTTTCGCGCAAGGACTCAACGGTGGGATGGAACATAGCAACCTTTGCTGTGTCGCTTGAGGTGCTGTAGTGCTGTAAATTGTGACATCGATCGCAGACAGGTTGTTTATCTTGGGGCGGTGATTCTTTCAAAATGTTAGTTTGTATATGGTTTGTAATAAGAGAGTTAGAGACATACTCGGAGCAATATGACCCTCTTTCTCAGCTCCAGTTACTAAGAGAGAGGGATCTAGGCCAAGAGCTTCCAGCTGGCTTGGGTCTAAACTTTTGAGAACATCATCGACAACTCCATCTTCCTGGCTTGCTGTATGCTGACGCTCGAAAGCCTTCGGATTCAACCACCTCTTAACTCTTTTGCTCTCAGGGTCGAAATAGCCCAGCATTTGAGGATCACTCGTTTGCGTAAAGGCACCACATCCCGTGCAATTTAATGGCAAGTGTCTCTTGGGAACCTCAAGGCCCGAAGGAGAAGAATTTTCGGTTGTTGTGGTTGGCGCATCTTGAGTTGTCGTCGCTTCGGTGTGATTGAGTCGTCGAGTATATAAGGGAGTTCGTAAAGGCGTCGCTTTTGGTGTTCTATGAAATCGACTTGAAGCTCCAACGGCCGGACATAAAAATAAAGGAACACTCGATGAAGCAGATGCTTCACCGATACTGAGAGCCCGGTTGATCCATCGAGCTGACAATACGCGGTGCATTGCGTTGTTTTTATGGTGAAGAAACGAATTCGGGTTGTCGCAACTAAAAATGTTGGACTTACACAGATTATCCTAAAAATTTCCTAGGAAATCATAGCTTTGTTAGCCTCCACTATAAGTCAAAGTGGGCATGCACTGGACCCCACCAGCGTGTTCGGGTCAACGCTCGGCCCGCAGCCTCGAGCACAGCGTTTCCCTCTGGGCAGCGGTTTATGATTTTCTGGGCCTAGAGCCGTCGACTTTTTGAGGCATTGCGACCACGGAACTGGTTCGACTCTGAAGAGACTCTTGCGCACCTTTATAGATTAAAGGTCTGCGCAGTTCAAGATGAGGTCTCTCGGTGAGCGTTTCAACAAGCTTCGCGCTGTAAGTCAATCCTCAGGGTTCGGGTCTCAAGGACGTGGCTGACAGTTAAAATAGAAGGTAGATATCTCTCCCATAAACGACGACCTACGATCCATTGCTCACGATTGAATCAGCTCATTTCCTTAAGATGCGGCCCGGGCGCAGCAATCCTTCCTCCAGAGGTGACCAGAATACATATGGACTTTGCCACGAGCTTTAAGAACGGTCATATGGGCGCCAAGTTAGTCCATATATCAAAGTCGCCTGCATATCAACTAATACACCAAAAAACAGAAAGTTCTGGCGTGAGAACCTCCCACGATTAAAGTACCATAACCCCTCAGTTCCTATGATCGTCAACCGTCACAGCCGGAACAACAGGAAGCCCACACTCTCTATCTATCTCCGCAAACCCGACGCCTCAACTCCCGCACCCGCTACCCGTTCCCAGCCCGCCTCATCACGCAATAACATGTCCAAGGCCACACCACCGGACGCTGACGAGAAGATTATTACCGTCGATATGACCGAGAAACACTCCTCTCACATTCTCGAATACGTACTTGCCGAGACCCGTGCTGTCCCCATCAAACCTACGAAGGAGGAGATTCGTGAACTGCAGGAGTTGGACGCCATGGCCAGACAAGCCGAGGTCGACCGAGCACGTATGAGGAGCCTACGTGAGGAGAAGAAGCGCGAGGAGGACATGCTGAAGCGAGCCCGGGCTGCTGGCGGTGTTGCCGAGGAGGAGGATTTGTAAAAAGGCTTGGAATAAAAGACAACGACGATGCTGTACAATAAATGTGTATTACCGAATGCCACATATCTGGCAAGTGTACTAGTTGGAAATTTAAAAAGTACCACTACCTTCTGCTTGGAGTTCTACATTGGTTGGTGAACGAATTGTTGGGCTGTCGCACGTATACAACGTATATTTCAAATGTTGAAGAATTGTGTTTCTCCATAGAATCTCTTATAGACAAACAATTTCAGTTTCTAATTGCACCTTGCCAGGTCCTGTATATAGATATACACTCCCAAAACCCCTTGAACTACCTATCAAAACTCCGTATATGAAATGAATACTTGCTCGTAATTTCATCAAGTGTACCATTCACTTTATGCCAAAGCCCTCACTTCCATGAACGGCAGTCCACAATAACTTCTCTAACCTTTCTTTTGACTTGTATCGTGAAAGAGATAGCATGTTGAAGCACGTTCGAGCAATTGGGAACCTGCCTTCATCCTCACCGAGGCAGGATATCTTAATCGGTAGTACAGCTGCACCCATAGCGGGAATTCGATCACTGCCAGTGATAAACAGGAGTAGTTTCCGTTGATCTTGAGATGTCGCCGCTTGAAATGTCTCCCAGAACCAGTCAATAACGGGCTCGGAGCCATCTGGCTTTTTGTTTCCCCAATTATCGTATTCAGCGACTCCCCTTAACGAGTTGATATCAAGCGCTCCATCTGAGCCTCGTACAAGGAGTTCAATCTCTTCTGGCCTAAATAGAGACAGAGCATTGCCTCCACATACAGTGTAGAAACCTCGTTTGAAGGGTTCGAACTGTCTCGTTACAGACACATCGATTATGTGCCGCACATAGAGGTCCACGTATTCTCGACGGTTGCTGTTTGTGACAGGGATGCGTTCGCCTCCAGGGCAAAGGGGAACCTGCACCTGAGTACCGTATTTATCCATATCGATAACGAAATCGAGACAGAAGGTTTCTTCCACATTGCCTTCGTATTCTAGCAACTGCCGTAATCCTCGAGCCAGTCGAGGCCGGTATTCCGCAAGGTCTTCGAGGGTATAACGCATGGGAGGTTTTGGGTGAGCCGATGCCCCTATGCCGTGTGTTGGAGCAGATGCAATTAGTTTTCGAAATGCAAAAGGAGGGAGGGCCACATCCAGAATAGTCGAGTTGTATATAGCAAGTCCCATCACGACTCCGACCAAGAAGAACTGATCGGAGGTTTCAAAAGCGTTCGGGTTGAAATAGCAATACTGAGAATCCTCGTCATAAAGAAAGAGGCCTATCGAGAGTCAGCAGGGCCCTAGGCCCTATTTCTGTAGGGCAATTCAACTTACCATGGTCGGGATTAAAAACTTCTCTGACTAGCAGTAAAAACCACTCTTTCCGTAGACCGCCCGCATCTACTCCCTCCTCGCCACTAAAGGTAATACGAAGACCCTTTTTGATATCCTCGCTCCCACTTCCAATCACCTCACTGACAGCTTTTAGACTATCATCCACCAGGCAATCTCGGCGAACACTTAATTCGAGGAACTGATTGATAGCCTTGCGACTCATGATGCTATCAAAAAAGGCGTCACGGGCTTTGCTCTGCATCTGGCGACGAGCATCGTGCTCGAGAATATGGTTCTTGGCCCATATGCTCAGAAGGAATGGGTACTGGCAGAACGTGAACTTGCTCCTACGAGCTTCCCAATTCTCAAAGTCTGCAACTAAGTCAGTGTAGTCGATCATTGAATTGTAAAAGTCGCTCGTTGGCAAGATTTGTCCGTGAGAATGAACATTGGAATGACCCTCAGCCGAACCTGAAGGGGCTTCTTCATTTCTCCGGCTGTGTGGTAAGTTATTGGCAGCAAAGAGGAGCGCCAAGACCCGCGAAGAAGCTCTAATTTGCCAATCTTCGGCATACATGATTTTCTTTTCAGGCTCCTTGGCCTTCTTTGACGAGTTTGCGCGGTTGATCTCATCATAAAGGTAAGCCCCTGAGCGCCCTTCTTGCATTTGCGGTATCAGGCCAGCTGTGATGTCAACTTTCACTTCTTGCTTCTTTCCACTCTGTCGGATCATCCGATATGTCAAGAAGCCGGATGCTAACTCTTTGGTACGAATGAAGCGAGAAGGGTGATGTCTCGCAAACCAGGTGATCAACTGGTTATGGCATTCAGGCGACGAATTGGATACTAAACCCACTATGCGCTTGATGATGCCAGAATGTTGCCCAGATAAAGGTCCAGATTCAGGGGTGCTGGCTTTTCTCGGCTGTATTGACCTTGGGCCAGAAGGCAAGTTTTTGTCGAATTGTAGAATTCCCCGAAACAGTGTTTCATGTTCGTGTAGTAGTGGGTTTTCTAAGATGATTAGGAGAAACCTCAAATCTGCTGGATCCTTCAATGGCCTTCCAGGTCTCTTTAGGAGCATTTCTGTTGCTTTAAGGAGAACACGCCGAGCATGTTCTTGGCCCTGTAGAAGTTCCCGCTCCAGTAATTGCAATTCTCGTTGAGAAGGTGTTAGAAAACCCCCTCCTTCACACATCTCCTCGTAAGTCGCAAACCATCCCTCAGCAGGATTCACGATAGTAGTGTACCATTCTATGAGATCGCCCCAGCTCATTTGCGGTGTCTTCGTGTTGACCGGCGCGCTTGAGAAACTTCGTTCCACTCGGTTTGTCGACGGTCGTCGTGGCCGAGAGTCTTCTTGGTTTCCCATCCACCAGGTCCCATTCTCGGCAAAGTCACCTAGGAGTAGCAACTTGGGATCAAGATCGCATGATCCATCTTCAAACTGAGGAATACCTCGATCCTCTCGCGGCTCACGAGCAGCATGATTCCCCGAAGGCTCGCGACGATGCGCTCTCTGTTCACGAGGCTCACTGGGTGGCATAGGCTTCCGACGGGTCGATTCGCTTCTACATCTAATGGGCTGGCGATGGGTATGCGTTAGGAATGAGGAGTTAATGCATTCAAATGAGCCAAAGCAGGCTACGATGTAGTCCTCCAAAGCCTTGAATATCCTTTTTGGGTCACCCTCAGGTCGATCTGGCGATTTACGTTGCTCGTTTGGCCCGTCTTGCAATATCTTACGCACTGGAGGTCTTTCGGTGTAAGAAGAAGAGAAGGATCGCATTGGCGTAGGGTTCGGCCGGGCGGGATTCGACCGTAGTGTCGGCTCCTCATCGAACGCATAATGAGACACTTGTATGGTAGGGGACTTGGATGAAAGCGCTGTTTCCTGTCTAGAATCGACCGGCGCAGGGGTTTGACCAGCAGCCTGCATGCGGCTGCTAAATGACAACTTGCTCTGCGACGGTGGTCGTGGCGGCGCCTCAGTGGGAGGTTTAGGAATTGGATGTAACTTCTTGGACAGGAAGGATTGTATCGATTGTTGAACCAGTCGCTTTGTCTGTTCGGTCGAGATATGTGGAGCTGTACTTTTATTAGTGATTGTCGTCCTCCTTTTGCCTTTATTCTTACCTCGAGTTGGACCAGACTTGGAGGGACCCTGACCCGCATCTCGACGCGACTTCGAGCCATCATGATCTGCGCTCAGAGGCTCCAAATCGTTGACTGTAGTACAAATCGTGCATTTGAACACCTTGAGCTCCCTTGGCCATCGTACTAGCGAGCCGCATGTCATGCAGTTGCCTGTCGCAAAATCCTTACTTCCTACAGGGCCATTTCGAGTATGCGAAGGATTTCGAGCGTGTGTCTTTGGCGCCTGTCGAGGCATTGCCGTGTCATCATCTGCAAAACCCAGGTCAGGCGGAGGTGCGCCGACCGAGTTCTGCCTCTTTTTCTTGCCGCTGAAAAGAGAAGGGAAAGGCTGGCTCATAGAGCGCGTGTGCTGGGGCCGACGAGGTTTTGATGGAGGTCGCGAGGGATGCAAATCAGACTCGTCGGAGCTGGAATCGGCGTTGGCATTGGAGAAGGATAACTGGAGGCGATTCCCGTTTGATGTATTCGGTAGATGCGTCGAGTAAAGCGCAGGTAATGTGGTAGGCGTATGCAATGCCGTATTGTGAATTCGACTGATGAGGTCACCGTCAGAGTTGTTGTTGGGTTGAGACCCACGACGACTCGACCAGGGAGCCATTTCTAGGGAAGTTACTAAGGATTCAGGGAGGCGATCTCGTGCAAGTCACGAGACACTTGTTGAGATAATATTCTGCAACTTTTGGAGAATGGTTTGGAGGAAGGAAAAGGATTGAAACAGAGTTTAAACGTCTTTTGTCAGTCAAGCATGATGGACATGATCCAAAGTCAGCATGTTCCAAACTGGAGTTGACGCCAGCAGCAGACAAGTCCAGTTCAGCTCGGCGAAGTCAGCCAAACAGACCCATGCTTTGTCCTCTTAGGCACCCAATCTCTCAAGGGGATGGAGGAAGAGAAAGATCGAGATTTGGTTAACGAGGCTGTGAAACAATGCAATGAACGATGAGTGATGGGTGTAGCTCAAGCCGTGGCTGCGGTTGGTGAAACAAGCCCGGTTTGTACGTACATAGATAGTGTTGATGAGTAAAGAAAGATATTAGGATCGGATCCAATACCATGTTTAGTCTATGAAACCAAATGGCCGTAATAAATCGTATGCAACGCGCGGCCGCCGGATTTTGAGTTCCTGATTATCTTGGCCCATTTTGTTCTGACGAATTCATCAAAGGCCCTTACTTTTTCCCTTGTCTCCTTAGACGTCTCCGCGACACCCGGAAATTTTGGGCTTTGAACTCCAATTGAATATCGCCTGTAAACGCCGAGAAGCAGGGGTTTGACGAGAGGCTTGACGGATACGGGCATTACCAGGGCTTCCCAGCAAACGTGGAGTTCCTGGCGGCCAGTGAGGAATGGAGAGGACGAAATATGAGATTCAGGTGTTTATCAGCTCCTCTTTCACCGCAATAGGAAACGTGAGTATCCTGCCTTTTTACAGGTTTAACAGGTGAGTGTATCTTTTTTAAGACCTCGTATTATGTTAGTGGTTGGCTTCTTTTAACCCGGTCCAATAATCGTGAAGCTAATGACCGCATCTGGGTTTAAATGCTGTGTTGCTATATTTTGTATCGTTACCGCTGTAACAACCCAAGTTTGAGAATGCAATGCAAATGCAACATAATTATCTCTCAAGAGAATTCTCATTAACAGAAACTTCGCAGTCTCTATGGAGACACTGTCCTCCAATTTGATGAACAAAAGAGATAAATCGAAACCCGTCTTCAAAGGATGGATTCCACTGTCTCCAGTTGGGTCCCCGCAAACGGTCCATGTCTTTGATGGTAGACGCCAGCGGCCGAAGCCGGCTCTTTTTATGGAAGCCTCCCGTCGTCAAGGCTGTTGAAGTTAATGGCAGTGGAGGTTTCATATGCAAGACACAATCGACATTATGGACTCATACTTAACTGAGGGCTCTTATCTTTTTCAAGAATTACAAAGAAAATGTCATCTGAATCTATAAGGAAACGAATTGTTATCAAGGCTTGGTCACCTCGACAAATCATTGGAGGTAATTCCCACCTTTGGCCTTCAATCGATCGCCAACCCTGAAACTGCAAATCTTACGACCTTTTTATTATACATCCTGACTTCATGCCAATGGATGTCAACACAAATTGTCCATATTTAGGTCAGATCCATATTCAAGAGACCCAGTATCAAATCCGTATCGCCAAGGGACGGTTTCCCGAAGCGTATATCAGCACCACAATATCTCCACGCATTTCGGTTCCAGTTCAACGGCGACATCAATCTCTCTTATCGTCTCACTGAGCCATGACTTCTCGTTCGCTTCCACGCCGACTCCAACAAGTCTGATTCTGTTTGAGACCACAACCCCATCTCGTGTTGTTCCATGTAGAGTGAGTTCACTCTGGCCTGTGGCAATGTTCAGTTCGCCTTTCAGCTCTGCTAATGTTTCACTGTGGCCATTTCGAAGCTCGAAAATACAACTACCATGGTCAAGTTCGACAGGGCCTGAGAAACTCAAGCTGAATACGATTGTCACGTCATGACCTAAGCGCGAAAGCTTCTTGACTGCCATCCTAGGTCCTCCAATAGCCTTGAGTGGCATATCGAGACGGAGGTTGCATATAGACGAAGTACCAAGTGCTCTCACTGTGCAGTTGTTGCTTTCGACTTGGAGGCTGGTTGCGTCGTCGACTATGATGCTCCGAATAAAGGCACAGTAGTTCGTATAGTTGGTAATTTCGATACGCTGTTCCTGAACAACAAAGTTTGTGCCACAGAAACTCGTCTGGGTTTGAGGTAACTTGATACGTCCGAATACGCTCCCGTCAAAGGATAGTGATGCCTCCGTTGTGATGATGGCGCTAGAGATCGTTCCTGTCCCAAACATGCGGCCCTCGATAACAAGATTGAAGGAGCTAAAGCATTAATTAGCCATATCATAAACGGAGGGTGTTGCGCTCACTCTTCAGTAGCATTGCTGATCTTAAATCGAGTGATTTCAAGCTTTGCAAAGTCCAGCAAGTGCTGTACAATAGCACCCACAATTCCCAAGGGTGAACAAGGTGACCTTCTATTACGGTTTCCAGAATCAAGAGCCATTCGGGCATATTCTTTGAAGAGAGGAGAGTTAGAGATAATCATAGAGGGCAGTTTGCTCCGGATGACGATTCTTAGGATCCTTGGCTGGTAAGTTGCAGAACTGATAGCAAGTGGAGGAACTGCGAAAGAATCCAAAAGGTAATAGAAAATTGAAGGTTAATACTGTTTATTTATGCGACGATGTTGCGCTTAGGAGTCCATTGCATGCCCAAGCGTCAGATATAAGTGTTTGGCAGATGTAAGCACTGCTTAATAAAGATTCAGGACGTGCACAAATCGAGGCAGTCTTTATATTATGCAGATGTAACTTGTAGCAGCTCCCTTGATTAATTTCGGTCAAAATATGATTACCTGCATACAGATATCTGACTGTATGCGCATCGCCATCCATAAGTCATGCTCACTGCTGAGGGCGAAGGCGCGTAAAGATATAATCACCAGTATGCGTTGCTGACATAAGACCAACTGGACAGAATCATTTAGTTCTTATTGTATTTTGCACCCGTTGACAAGGCTTGTTGGGTCAGCCTTCATGTAAGCTTAGAGTTATAATTGGGTATGTTCTTATTGTGTCTGTTGCTGACCACAACACACTTAAGTTAAAACATGCAGAATTCCGTCTTCTTATCCAGAACGTTTCCTCAAAAGTGCTAGCAATACGCATACTAAGTGGAAGTATTTGAAAAGGTTATAAAAGTAGTATGGTGTGGGCGTTCTTAAGCTGGCAGTCTCTGATAATAACTACCTATATCTGTTCTCAAAAATTGCACTGGTCAATGGACCGCTGAGAGCTACAAACTTGCTACAAGAACACTATTTTTTCCTTATACCAATGTCGATTGCTTGGTTGTTCGGTCTCTATAATTCCCAGTATGGATATAAAGAGTGTTGTGCCTGAAGGGGATCTGAATGAAGAGGAAGATGTTAGCAGTTATATTCAAGTACCCAAAAGCTAATTTGACTCTTCACGCATGTCTTCTTACCCTCCGCTTATATGTCATACATCAGGGCTTTGATGTATGAGGCATGAAGAGGGTATTGCAACAGAAGTCTCCGACAACTGCACTTCTGCGTAATGCAAAAGCATGTCTTTCAGCAATGATCTTATCACAGAGTGATTCTCATTCAGTATATCAGCTAGATTACCCTAATCGTCTCAGCCCTTGGCTTAAAGCAAAACAAATACATCGGGCCATGGCAATGGCAACTGAACGCACCAGGAAAGGAGCATGTATTTAGATTAGCACAATCGCCTCCCATCAAATCCGATCAATGAAAGGCGTGTCAATGATACGTAGGCGTTCCGAGCTATATTGACATATGTGAGTGACCAGAGACCAAGCTCTCCTTACTTGATTTCATTGATTGGGACCCTGCGATATGCTGGTAGTTGACTGAGATGCTCCAATAACAATTTTAATATCACTGACGTAACCATTGATTTGCGCCTCATATCATAGAGATCCGTTCCGTGCTTCCTCCAAAAGCTATCCCAGGCCTATTATGGTGCGCTATTGGTACGACATCAGGTCCTCGGTCCAGCTTTCAGAACGGCGCATCTCAGGTAGGATCCTTCTGAGCCATCAGAGCCAGATTAAGATATCAAATAGCCATAAGATCACAATCAATTGCACAGCAGAGCAGGAGTTTGGATTGGCGGCACGGATCGTTCATTCAGACGTGCCTCGGTGGGCGTTTGGCATAAACATAGTGGTCTCGTCTCACATCACTGAAAAGATTGACGTCTTCACGAATCTCCCGAGCAATTATCTCGTTTTGACGGCGGCAAACATTGACCCTGATGCAAATGATTCCGAGGTTCTAAAACCCTCAAACTCCCACGGTGTCCCCCACGCAACGCAACCCAGTCACACGAGCGAAACCCATGGTAGAAATTGCCCTCCATTTTTTTATGAGTACATGCCGATACCCTTCGAAATGCATCTCATTCGTGACCACCTAAAGGAAATGGGTTCGTTTAAGAAGGGGGAGCAGCGCCACGTCCACGGCCAAAACCACCACGGCTGTATCAGTTGTTAGCAATTCGTCCCATATCCATCAACATCGAAGGTCAACTCACAACTGAGGAGCGAACTCGCCGGGAGCACCACCCTCCTTGCCCTCGCCAGCATCCCTTCGTCGGTATCCACCCTCACGGTCACCTCGGTCACCACCACGGCCACGGCCGAAAGGTCGTCGCTCGCGCTCACCCTCGCCGAGCATGCCGCGGGGAGGAGCGTGCGATCGTTGTTGCTTGATGTGGGTAGCGGGAACGATCTCAGCGGGGAGGTGAAGCCATTCGCGAAGGTAGTCGAGACCCTCGGGGGTCAGGGTGTAGTAGTAGTATTGCCAAGAGAACTGGGTCTTGACATAGCCGCGAGAGTTGAGCGACTGCAGAGCCTTGATGACGAACAGGTTCTTGGTGTCGATATCAGGGTGCTTGGGAAGGTTGAAGTCCTTCTGGGCGACGAGAACACCCTCGCGGAAGAGGTACTGCCGGGAAACTGTTAGTTATGTGCGCTGTGATTTTGTGTCTTCTTCTCCGCCGTCGTCGTTGTGCAGAGCAGCTCGGTGAATGTATTGGTTATTACCTCGTGGATCTTCTTGCGGTCGGCCTTGGGAATCAACATCGTGGCGGTATTTGCTGCTCGTCGGAAGGGTCGATGTTGGAAGGTGGCAGTTTAGGAGGGACAAAGGCGAGATCTCAAAATGATAACTTTTGTGGGCGGAAACCCTACTAGAAATGTGCTGTAGCGAAGTGGGGTGGAGAAGGCTTCAATTTGTGGCTGATTTCACGTGATGAGGACGACTCTGCTGTGGCTGACGCTAGAGGTGTGGCAGTCGGAAGGGCCCGCTTATCTGCAAGGTGCAGGCCGTCTGCATGACAACCAAAGCAGCGTCGAATCTTTGCGACAGGCCTTCTCAATCATTCATCACGGCGTCCTCCACTGTTTCCAAACTCAATACATCCCATACCATGTCTCCCCGAAACGTGAACGTGTTGGTCACTAGCTTTGCTGGTCTAGGACTACCACCGACCCTCGTTCTTCCTCTATCACCATCGACAACAGTTACAGAACTGCGCGAACGCATAGACGATCGACTCCCAACGACTCAGTCAAGACTCATTCTCACCACACTATCCAACAAGCAACTTCCAGCCTCATCAGACTCTCCCATCTCCAACTATCTATCCACTGTCGACGATGAATTTCTTTCCTTGCGACTCGCTGTTCCCCTTTGTGGTGGCAAAGGTGGTTTCGGATCTCAACTGCGAGCCGCAGGTGGTCGCATGTCCTCTCGCAAAAAGAAGAGCCAAGAGGACCACGGATCTAGCCGAAATCTGGATGGGCGACGACTGCGTACTGTAAATGAGGCTAAGGCTTTGGCCGAGTATCTAGCTATCAAGCCCGAGATGGAGAAGAAGGAGAAAGAGAAGCGCCGTGAACGTTGGGAACAAATCGTTCAAATGTCGGAGCAGAAGGAGGCTGAGATTAAGTCAGGCAGCAGGAGCCGCCTCGACGGTCAGTGGGTTGAGGACAAGGAAGAGAGCAGTGAGCGAACCCGAGAGGCTGTTCTAGCTGCTATGAAGGCTGGTAACTACAAAGACAACTTGCTTGGCATATCTCACGATTCAGGCTCTACACAACCGAGCAACGACCAATCCGGTTCAGATGAGGACAAGGGTACATCGTCAGAGCAATCAACGCCGCCACCCATCGAAGAAGCCAAGGCCGACAAGGGCAAGGGCAAGGGCAAAGCTACGGCATTTTTTGGATTCGATGAGGACGATGAATTTATGAGTTCAGACGATGAGGGTGAGGAAAAGTGATGGGTGTGGTCAACATGATCATGAAAGGGGATTGGCCGTTACGACTTATACTGGCCAATCGCAATAGCTATTTTTTGGATTACGGAGTATGGAATCATGGAGTATTATCGGGAAGATGAATTACCAGCGCTTTTGCATGAGCCTCACATAGCTAAAATGATATCAATAATCTCATTCGACACTCTATGACTCAAGACTCGAGACGTCATCACAATGCGGAAAGCCAACATTCAAAACACAACAGTCAATATTTGAGGTTAGCTTTTAAAGCAACTTCACAAATGATACAATTGCAGTGTGTCTGCTCTGACTCTTCTAACAACATCCACTAATCCGTATCTACGGGGTCGGCTTAAGCGTCGAGCTTGACGGGGAAGTTTCCGGCCTCTGCGCAATGCGTTAGTCTTAGTTCGAGATCAATTACAACCACTGAGGTTCAACATACCGCGCTGCTCGTCCCAACGCTGATACCAGCCGGAGGGGCAGAGGGATCGGTAAGACAGCCAGAACTAGACGTCAATTAGCACGGACGTCGCGGGTGGGAGTGATACTCGAGAACTCGTACCTGGCGGCAGGGCGCAAAGTCCTCACCCTTGGCAAGAATGCACTTGTGGTAATCGACGTAGTTTTGCCAGCAGTGCTTGGTCTGGTTCTGGTTGGGGAAACGAGCGTCAGTGCCTAAGAGGTGTTAGATCGAATCGTGGTAATCGATATGAGTGCAATTGAGTATCGTCGCTGGGGTCGCGTAATCGCAGTTTGTCGTCGAAGAGTGAAATCGGTGGTAGTTATGGTGGTGGTCGAGGGATTCGTGCTTACCAGCTGCGTAGAAGTGTTAGCCTCGGAGTCAAATCAGGTCATTTTTTCGAGCCCGCAGCGGCAGTACCAACAGCGGGATTATCAGGGAAGCAAGCATTTAACATACCAGTGACAAACTTGAAAGGCTTGGTGACAAGCTCCTGACCGTCGTCCGACATTGTGAATAGTTTGGAGAGGAATTGACTTGGAGGAGGGGAGATTCTTCTGGGGGTCAATGACGGCGAGTATGGAGCTCGGTGCGTTTTGGATGGAGAGGTTGAGTAGGTATCCAATGCGTCGACGTTAGTAGAATGGATGGGTTGTCGGCTCGAATCAAATCAGGTGGTTCGATTTCCTTCCGGGAGAGCTCAGTGTGTGCCTCAGGCTACCTCGGGCCAATGGCGTATGGCGTAAGGCACCCATCTGGACTGGTGGGCCTGCCAGGCTCTAGCAATTGCACATCAGCAGATGTTCGTTCGCTCGGCCAACTCCAAACACTCCTTCCAAGGCCGATAACCTCCAATTGAACCATCACCTCTGGACTTGATTCCTTAGACCCTCCCCACTCACTCCAAGATGCGTTCTACTGCTGCTCTTCGAATGTTCAGGCAGACGCCTCGCATGTTGCGACCCGTCCCCGTGAGTATCTCCAATTCTTTGCGATGGTCTGAGGGAACGAGCTCTTTAGTCCTCGGCTCAGTATGACATCAATTGCTGACCCAGCTTCGTGTTATAGAAAGAGGACCAGGCTGGTACGTAATGCTAGAAGTTCCCGACGATGCTTAATCGAACGACTCGATACTGCAAATACGGATGCGAAACTATCTCAATTGGCCTTAATACTGACAGAATCCAAGGCCACACCGTCTCTCAGCGTCTCCGAAAGCTCAAGCAGATCCCTCCTGAGCTGTACCCCCTCGGTAAACCACCACGACTCAATTGAACCATGTCTGTGTCTAATATCTATATCTAGCTGTCGTCGTTGGCTTCGCTCTCGGCGCTGCCGGCTACTCCATCTCTCGCAAGTTCATCGTCGATAAGAACCTCCGTCTGGCCCGACAGGGTCCTGCTGGCCGCCACGATGCTGGCCACGGTGAGGGTGAGAGTGAGGGTCACTAAATATAGCACAAAGATAGGGATGCTGTTGGGGAAATGAAACTGTTTGTATGTCCACATGTCCTCGGAAGGACAGTACTGTACATTTCAGATGAGTGCGGTAGCAAGGAAACCCATCAGGTATAAAATCTGAATATTCTCGGCGATGATATATACATATATCTCATCCTTACCCGCCAGTGACCGTGAATCCAATGCCTCGAACGCCTTCGCTATGCCGGCAATAAACCCAATAACAAATCTCCAACTTTTATCCTTATTCGGGTTTTGGTCCTGCAACGTCGAGTTGTTCCAATCCTTGCATAGGGTCAGGACCAGCATCTGGCACTGTTCCTTCATCATCTGCCGCATGCTCAGCCAACCATCCTTCCTGTAGATCACGTTAGTTTGATTGCCAATTGTTTCGATTATAACATACCTTCTCCCAGATAGCTGTTTTGCTACCAAGTCCATCCTCTGCGCTTTTGGGTGCCTTGGCCTGTGATACCTTGAGGACCTTTCCGAACAACTCCGATTGATCCATATTATCAATGGCCTCTTTTGCATCCGCTGCGTCTTCGAACTCGACATAGGCGAATCCTCTGTGTGCCTCTGTAGAGTTTGGCGCATCGGGCTTTGGTACTTTGACCTCGACAATCTCACCAAATGGGATGAAAGCGTCGAGCACATGACTCTGAGTTGCCATTTGAGATAGCCCGCCTACATAGACAGTGGCTTTCCATCGAGCTGCGTCTGACATTTTTGAATTGATATATGTGCTTTCAATGATTGTAAGAAGAATTAATGGTGTTAACGTAAGCCTGTAAGCCCTTGAAGTTGAACTCATACCATTCACTCAAGGTGCTCCAGTAATTGAGAGGTTCTGTGCTTATCACGTGATCATTAGAGTCTCTAGATCTTGACTTACAGCATTTGGCTTCTGGCTGTTTCACGCTCATACTTACCATCTCAGGCAGAGTATTAAGATAAATGGTGTATAATATCCGTAAAGACATCCCCCAAGAAATAGTTCTCAGTTTTTATGACGGGCAGCTTTTAATATCAAAGCTTATGCTATCCTTTAGAGGTCCTGTAAGTCGATAGAGTCCAAAACATCGGCAGTTGATGATTATCTAGATACCGACTGACCTTCAGACTCCCGCACTTTTGCCATGAAATATTTTATCCGTCATATAGGCATACTTATATTACCGGCTTCTCTCAACTCGTTCCCCTCCTATAGGCGTCATACTCGAAGTTGATCAAGCTCTCTCTTCACGTGACAACCAGCCCCACCTTCTGGACATCTCAGGAGGCACGGACGTGGCCACAGGGAGCTCAGGACTCAGGAGCAACCTAACTAACGGGGGGAGCCCGCCAGCCTGCAATCTGGCATCATACCTCCCACTCCCACTACAGAACACACCTCCACCGACCTCGCCCTGCTTCGTTCTCCTTTTTGAAGCATTACTGCGGGCAGAGGTGACGATTCATTGAGAACTGTATGGAGTTTTCTCAGCTGAAATTGCACATTTTCTTGTCTTTTTAACTCGTCTTATTATATCGAAACATCATCCTGAGCTGGTACCATCGTCGCATTAGTCCCTAAACTCCCCACCATCACCATCATGGTGCGCCTTCGAGAGATTCCACGAACGGCCGCCTTCGCCTGGTCACCGGGTGCTGGCAAGCCAATTCTAGTCACTGGTACTCGTGCTGGAGCTGTCGATGTCGATTTCTCAGACGAGAGCAAGCTTGAACTCTGGGATCTTGCTCTGGATGATCAACAACAAGGTCTCGAACTACAACCTGTCGCTAGCATCAGCACCGACGCTAGGTAGATACTCAAGAATGCGCTTTGGAAACCCCCATGTTCTGATCAACACTTCAGGTTTTACGATGTTGCATGGGGTCCTCCCAACGAGGATCACCCTATGGGTATCATTGCTGGTGCCCTTGAGAACGGCTCCCTAGACCTCTGGGATGCTGAGAAACTTATTGCTGGAGAGTCTGATGCTCTGATTTCCCAAACATCAAAACATAGTGGCCCGATCAAGACACTTGAATTCAACCCCCTGAAGCCTCAAATTCTGGCCACAGCTGGCGCCAAAGGAGAGCTTTTCATCTACGATGTCAACGATATTGCCAACCCCTTCCGACTAGGCAATGCTGCTGCCCGATCAGACGATATCGAATGCCTTGCATGGAACCAAAAGGTCTCACACATTCTCGCCACGGGTGGAAACGGTGGATTTGTCACTGTCTGGGACTTGAAGACTAAGAAGGCTTCTCTAACACTCAACAACAACCGAAAGGCTGTTAGTTCCATTGCCTGGGACCCCAACAACTCGACAAAGCTCCTGACAGCCACTCCTGACGACAATTCCCCTGTCATCCTTCTATGGAACCTACGAAACTCCAATGCTCCCGAGAGGACACTTCAAGGTCACGAGTCTGGTATTCTATCCCTGTCTTGGTGCCAGCAAGACGCCGACCTCTTGTTGTCGTCGGGCAAGGATAACCGTACCATCGTGTGGAACCCCAGTACTGGCGAGCGATATGGTGAACTGCCAGAGGTGACGAATTGGACTTTCCTCACCCGTTTTAACCCTCACAACCCCAACCTTTCGGCGACTGCCAGCTTCGACGGCAAGATCACGGTGCAGACTCTCCAAAACACTAACCCTGATACTACTAAGGCCGCGGCCGAGAAGAACCTTGATGATGAGGATTTCTTCCGTGCTGCTCAGGATCAGCCTCAAGATGCCTCTTGGTCATTGGCCAAGGCTCCCACCTGGTTCGAGAGACCGGTGGGTGCTTCATTTGGCTTTGGTGGAAAGATTGTCGTGTTCAAGCCCAATGCTACTCAGCCTGGACAAAAGCGTTCATCGAAGATTTTGATCACCAACTTCTCCGTTGATTCTGATATTTCTACCGCTACCCAAAAGTTTCAAGAGGATATCGCTTCTGGCAAGATCTCTGAGATCTGTGCAGACCGGGTTGAGCACGCCAAGACTGATGAAGAGAAGGCTGACTGGAAAGTGATGGAGACTCTTGTTGGCGAGAACCCTCGTAGCAAAATTGTCGAATATCTCGGCTTCAACAAGGATGACCTCACCAATGGCAGTGCCGAAGAGACATCTGAAGTTCAAGATGATGAGGAAACCAAGACCTCAAATGAGGACGCCGAAGACAAGAAGAAGAAGCGAGTCTCGAGCTTCTTTGATGGTGCTGAGGGCGATGGTGACGACTTCTTGTCAAATCTCGCCGCTACGAAGGGTGCTAAGACCGATAACCCCTTCCATCTTTTCAGTGACTCTGATACCACAGTTGAGAAGAACATCACCACTGCTCTGATGTTGGGCAACTTTTCCAAGGCAACTGAACTTTGCCTCAAGGAGGACCGTTTCGCCGACGCATTCTTGATCGCCAACTGTGGAGGCCAAGAACTTGTTGACAAGGTTCAAGCTGCGTACCTGTCCCGCAAGAGCGGTATGCCAAGTTACATGCGTCTGCTTGGCTCTGTTATCACTAAGAACCTCTGGGATGTGGTCTACAACGCCGATTTAGAGAACTGGAAGGAGACTATGGCTATAATCTGTACATTTTCCGACCCTAACGAGTTCTCTGACCTCTGTGAAGCGCTCGGCGACCGGATCAACGAGGAGGGTGATCGAAAGGACGCTTCATTCTGCTACCTTGTTGGATCAAAGCTCGAGAAGGTGGTGTCTATCTGGGCTGACGAGTTTGATGAGGCTGAGCAGGCTGGATTGAAGGAGGAGTCTGAAGATTCTACATTCTCAGTTCATGCCAGAACTCTGCAAAATTTCATCGAGAAGGTGACCGTCTTCCGTCACGCCACCAAATTCCAGGATAACGAGACAAGTTTGACCTCGGATTGGAAGCTTTCAGTTCTGTACGACAAGTACACCCAGTACGCAGATATTCTGGCTGGTCACGGTCAGCTAGAGACCGCTCAGAAGTACCTCGATCTCCTCCCTTCCAACTATCCTGCGGCGGAATTGGCAAGGAACCGTGTACGCCTTGCTACCAAGAAGCCTTCTGCTCAACCCACGTCCCGAGTGCCAGCCTCATCGAGCCGGACATCGTCCAGGCTTCAGCCTGCTGTTGGCTACCAACCTCCTCAACCAGCACCTGTGGTTGGCACTGTGCCTGGTTCTGTCCCAGCTAACCCTTACAGCAACATTGCCCCAAGCCCGGCTGCTCCTCGATCAACTGGGTCGCCAGCACAGCAATATCAGCCCCCCTCAAACCCTTATCAACCACAGAACAGTTATGCTCCTCCTGCGCAAACTGGATATGGAGCGCCCAGTGGTTATCAGCCGGGTTACGGTGCTCCCGCCCCCCTGGCCCCCCCACCGATGAGCGGTCCTCCTCGAAACACAACACCTTCATCAATGACACCTGCAGCCAAGATGAAGAATATGGACAACTGGAATGATGTTCCTCTTGTCACTAAAGCACCCCCGGCGCGCAGGACCACGCCCAGTGTCCAGCCTATCACGTCTCCTTTCCCTGGTCAACAAGGCACAGGTGTAGCTCCTCCACCTCCTGGTGCGTCTCCTTTTGGACAGCGAACTGGCTCGACTCCCCCTCCGCCACCTCCCAAAGGATCAGCACCACCTCGGGTTCAGTCACCCCTGGCAGCTCCTCCACAAAGCTTCCAGGCTCCTCCCCCTCCTGCTGCCAGTAGCCATAACCCATATGCGCCCCCTCCCCCTGCTGCCGGTGCGATCCCCCCACCAATGCCCAATGTTGTTCCTCGAACAGCATCGCCATACAATGCTCCTCCAGCAGGAGGGCCTCCCACTAACCGATATGCTCCCACTCCTGTAGCACAGCAGCAGCAGTACAACCAACCCCCAGGGTCTGTACCCCCTCCTGGAGCCGCAAGTCGTCCTCCTCCGGCTGGGTCATTTGGAGTCCCTCCTCAGCAGTCGACGCCTCATAACCAGTATGCTCCCTCTCCATATGGTGCCCCTCCTGCTCAACATTCTGCGCCCCCCACTGGACCTCCTCCGACTGGGCCTCCTCCCATGAGCCGACCTGGACCTCCTGGTGGACCTCCCGCGGCCTCCTCTCCAAAGCCAACTCCTCCTCCACCCCAGGCGTCAGCCCCTCCAAAGGCCAGACATCCTGCGGGTGACCGATCGCATATTCCGCCTAATGCCCAGCGTTTGGTAGACATCCTAGACCAGGATATGCAACGGGTTGCATCCAAGGCTCCTGCGACATTTGCGCCCCAAGTCAAGGACACGCAGAAGCGACTCGGCTTGCTCTTTGACCACCTTAACAACGAGGAACTTGTCAAGCCTGATACAATTGCACAGCTTACCGAGCTTGCCAATGCTATTGAGGCCAAGAATTACGAAGGTGCACACAAGCTACAGGTTGAGCTTCAGCGAGACAAGACCGAGGAGTGTGGCAACTGGATGGTAAGTTTTCCTTGTGTCATAACTCGGTTACAATGTTAACTCACTCAACAATAGGTCGGTGTCAAGCGATTGATTAGCATGAGCAAGGCTACTCCGTGAGCAAGACTTTTTTTTAGCATAACATGACTTGTTGTGCCTTGCTCATGGATCACGTATGAAGGGTTGCGGATGTGATGTTGAATAGCTTAGCGCATGATGCGTGCATGATTGGGGATGAAGATCATGAAGACACCCACCCACGCCGAGGGTTTAGTAGATAGAAAAGTAAATGACGAGGTTATTATGTGTCTGTCTGATCATGATCTTGCCAGGGCTCTAAAACTTTGGTAATGTGTTATCTCGAATAGTACTTCGTCATCAACCATCAAACCCTCGAC